TGTGAACTAAGCACATTCCTTCAAAACCACAGGCATCCACTTCTCATTGGATTTATGACAATCACAACATTGGCATGCAGGTAAAAAAAAAAATTCAATTTGCTTTTCCCATCACACCTCCGGTTACCTCAGGGAACCCTATTTTAATAGGGAAAGAAGTAAGGACAATTTCTGCCATCCTAACCATGTCCAAGTGTTCCACAATATTCCTCAGTGGTCTATCCTTTCCTCTGCACATTTCTACAGCTCTAGCTATTGGATCATTAGAGTTTTGCCTTTCAGAAAAGGTGTTCAGGAAAAGGGATCCTAACAGACAGCAGCCCAGAGGAACTTTTCCTTCTTCAGAATAGCCTCTTTAGGAAATTCCTTTCTAAATCTAATAAGTTTATGGATTAAACGACTTTCAAGGATGGAATGGCCTGAGAGCATTCTAAACTGAGATTAGGACTTTATCCTTTGTTCGGCACATAACATGGGCCACTCAAAGCACTTAATAAATATTTAACAGAATTGAGTCAGTAATGTTGTAAAAGAGTTAGAAAAGACTTTAGAATTTGCTTTGTTTTTTTTTTCTATCAACACAAGGACAAACATAAATGGGTGGATTATAGCTCAGTGTAAGAGAATAAAGAGTAAGAGAGATTAAGACTAAAGAGGTAAAACACCTCATATGGTTTGTGAGAAAGGGAAAACATCCTTTTTGTATTGCTCTTTTTAGTTGGTTGTTGGGCAGACTGCTCCACAAGAGAAAATGTGATAACTCTAAGAGAGGAAAATGAAAACTGTAGTCTTTCCAACTAAGAAAGTGTCAATTCAGTCTTAAGAATAAAAGAGCATGGCCTCCCATGCTGACAGCTATATAATTAGTAATATTCCCCTTGATAACAAACACAGTTTACACTATAGTTATCAAAAAATTCATCCTACAAAAAGTTGCTTGAGTTTACAACAACTGAAGCGGTAGCCAAATTTCAGAGTATATTGATGCAGCTATTTGTATTCCTGATGCTCCTTTGTACTCTAAGCCCATTAAGAACATAATATTACTTTTCCTAAATTTTCCCATATGATAAGTAGAATCTTATGGATTTGGGGCTCTCAGGTCACTTACATTCCTGGGCAGAGAGGCGTGGAGCTATATAAACATGGGGAAAAGAGCTATTACTATTGAGTGACCAAACCATTAAATATGTTTTATTGCCGTAAAGTGTATCATTGTTTTACTTCATAGTAACTGTTTTTGTGAAGTTGAGAAATAATGGGCTTATTCTGCTTTTATAATTAAAACATCACTTTCAAAATTTGTAAAGCTGATTGAAATAACCACAGTAATGGTGGAGTTGGGCTTGCTTGTTTTAAGGGAAGTGTTTAAGTTTGAATGCAATAGTCATGGTGGTTTTTAAAGTAAATAAATTGAAATTAGAAGCAATGTAGTACCATACCCTCTTCGCCAAAATATTTTCTACCAAGTGAAAAAAAGGAAAAGAGATGAGAGTAACCTGTGATTATGTAAACTGTGGAAGGATAAGGAGAGACTAAATCAAATGTATATTCTTGTTTTTTAAAGATTTCATTTATTCATGAGAGATAGAGAGAGGCAGAGACACAGGTAGAGGGAGAAACAGGCTCCCTGTGGGGAGCCCTATGTGGGACTCGATCCCAGGACCCTGGGATCATGCCGTGAGCCAGAAGCAGATGCCCAACCACTGAGACACCCAGGTGTCCCAAAGGTATATTTTTAAAAATAAATAGACAAATACTCCAGAAATATTGCACTGTATTGTTAGCTAACAAAATTTATTTTTTTATTTTTTATTTTTTTTAATATTTTTTCTTTATTTGTGATAGTCACACAGAGAGAGAGAGAGAGAGAGAGAGAGAGAGAGAGAGAGGCAGAGACACAGGCAGAGGGAGAAGCAGGCTCCATCCACTGGGAGCCTGAGGTGGGATTCGATCCCGGGTCTCCAGGATCGCGCCCTGGGCCAAAGGTAGGCGCCAAACCGCTGCGCCACCCAGGGATCCCGCTAACAAAATTTAAATAAAAGGAAAAAAAATACAGACGAATGAGTATATTATAGTAGGAAGACTTTAATACAGCAGCTGGTAGAACTTCCTGACTATAAGGACTGTGAAAAACTAAAAGTATTATGTGTTTTCCCTTGGAGATTAAAAACACAGATAATTCTCCTTAGGTGTAATATTATGTAGAAAACAGAATTGGTTCAGATAATGTTTTGAGAGTCTCCTTTTTTTTTCCCACTAATATGAAGGTAAAAGAGAAAAAAAGGACTCTGGGCCAAGTCCATCTGTACAACCCTCAGCCTGTCTGAGTTCTTTAAGGATGGAGTAGTTTTGAATAGCTGAGGTTTCTGGACAGCTATGTGTACATCATCCCAAGAATTACAATTTTGAATGAAAATATCACTAAAACTGTATTTAAATCCCATGACCTTTATTCTTCCTTTCTGACTTTTAAAAAATATCATGTGAGTCATTCAAACTTACAGAAATTATTCTAGGAAAAGAAACAGCCATAATCTTACTAGCCAAAACCACCAGGACGTACAGAAAACATGATTCAAGGTTGTAAAATAATGAGATCCTCAATCTACACGAATATTGTCTCAAGTCTGTAACACTACATGTTACTATGCTAAATTCACACCCTTTTTTTTTCTGGCTCCAAAGACTGCCCTCTTAACCTTCTCCAAGGCTTGCATCCTAAAGGCCACACATTGTAATAAATTTTAAGAGCTCGCACACATGCATCCTTGACACTCTAAGATTTTTCAAACTTTCCTTAGCATCAGATTCTTATTTTTCATTTTCCAAAGGTCTATTTTATTTTTATGGTATGCCCCCCACTTTTCCAATTTGCTGCTTTAGATTTGCTGTTACTAATCTGGCTTTGAGACATGGGGATAAGACATTTAAGTCTAAACACGCACTAGCGAATCCTGAAAAATCAACTTACTTATATTCTATAGTGACTTAATAAAAATTTAGATAGTTATAGGTGGAAAGGTACATTACCTGGAGTCAAGAAACCTGCTCATACAGCAGAGTAGAACGGTGACTACATCTGCAGAAAATATTGTTCATCTACAAGCTACAAAAAAATCAAATGTGCCACAAAACAAAGAAGGTAGAGGATATGGATGTTTAAACAAGAAAAGAAAGAGGCCCATTGAATGCCCTGTACTAAAACTGAGCCTTGGGTTTGAAAAGAAGTTAGGAGACTGCTCCCAACTCATTCTGGCCCAAAAAGGTGAGGAAGGAAGATCAGAAAGTATAATGCAGTAGAAAGAGGAGGCCAGGGGAGTTTGACACAATTAAAGACTAACACTTGCTTTCTTGTTTTGATGAGAGTAAGACCACTGGATATAGAAGGTCACCTTGAAGGGACACAGTGCTATTACTTCAATCTTGCCTGGGGTCAGCCCTGCTTATCTCCCACCAAATGTGGATAAATAAGCAGCCTCATAGAGCTATTTTTTATCATATGAGCTTGGCAGGTATGTTGCTTTCAAACCTGTTGATGTGCTACTATTATTTCATGTAATATATATTTTAGTATATGTGCTGCCGAAGCGAGCACTATTTCACATAATATAAAGTTTCTTTTTTGTGAGGTTAACATGTCAGCTTCATTAATCAAGTTATCATGAAAATTAAAATTTGATTAGAATTTAATTAATATGTCATACTAGTTTCTTTGCAACTACAGAACATATACCTATGGGAAAGGGTGGCCCAATTGCTTGAGGTGGCAATTAAACTTGTGCTTTTCTTCCATTGGCCTCTGTTCCCTGCTAGGCTCTTGGTTAAGAGAGAAAAAAAAAAGCTGTCACTCTGACCCAAAAATCTCTAACTCTTAGGACAGAAGATATTGACAGAACCTAGAGTACACCTTAAGTGTGATTGTTCTAAAGGCATACTTGAGTTGTTCCATGAGAATGAGGCTCTCAGAAGACCCTGAATACATATTTAAGACTGAACCTCCATTTCCACCCTTCCGTGATTTTTCTCCTTAAGTCTGCCACTCAAGTCTCCTTGTCCTTCTAAGTCTCCCTGTGTCCTTGTACTCATCAGGCTGACATGACACATCAGCATCTGAGTTTTTCAAGCCAATAGCTTACCGTTACAAAAAAAAAAAAATCAAGTTTGTAAAGGGGTACTTAAATGTAGTAAACTTGGCGTCCCTTTGCCCTCTAAACTTTACTCAAATAAAATTATAAAAAAGTGACTGGGGACATCTGGGTGGCTCAGCAGTTGAGTATTTGCCTTTGGCTCAAGTCGTGACCCCAGGGTCCTGGGATCAAGCTCTGCATCAGGCTCCTGCATGGAGCCTGCTTCTCCCTCTGCCTATGTCTCCGCCTCTTTCTCTGTCTCTCAAGAATAAATAAATAAAATCTTAAAAAAAAAAAAAAAAGTGACCGTAGTGGCGCCTGGGTAGCTCAGTTGATTGTCTGCCTTCGGCTCGGATCATGATCTCAGGGTCCTGGGATCGAGCCCCACATGAGGCTCCTTGCTTGACGGGAGCCTGCTTCTCCCTTTCCCTCTGTCCTTACCCTGCTTGTACGAGATCTCTCATACTCTTTCTCTCAAATAAATAAAATCTTTTAAAAAAAAGTGTAATTTATATTCAGATAATTAAGAAGTGATTATATTACTCCTGCATTCATTGTATATAAATGTACATACAGCATCTCTTAGATGCTTTGGGTACTAGGGGAAAAATGTAGACCCTGATAAAATGTAACATACGATCACACAAATTTGAGTACCATTTAAGCAATTAGCCATGACAACTCAAGCTTAAGCAACATGGTAAGTACTTATTATTTTTGCTAGCAAGGAAAAATGCATGAACTGTCTAAACAATAGAGCATTTTAAAAAATTCATATTTATTTCCACCTATTCTGCGGCTAATAACATTGTGGGTGCTTTTAAAGGTCAAAAACAATGAACTGTCTAAAAATATTCTGAATAGCAATGGTATTACATTGTGAATTTTATTTTCAAATTTTGGTCAATAAAGAAGAAAATCATAAAGTTAACAAATCAAAAGAAGTACCAAAAAAAGACATTCACATACACAAAAGGTATGAACAGTGTAGACTCATTTCCAGCTGATTGAATTCTACTTATACATTTAAAATACAAAATACATCTTAATTTGTTAAGGAAACTGACCACATTTAGCACCAGGAAAGGAACTTTACTTTAGCTTTTGATCATGCCTTCAATATCTTGTCTTAAGAAAAGAAATTTCATGGAAACTGTATGTATGTATCACTGTCAATTAATAAAAGATTAATTTTGAAAAATAACCACTGCATATCATTGATTCATGAGTGATTCAAAGGGAATAAATCCTTAAAGCTGGAACTACTTGATATTCCGCACAACTCTCCTACAGTGGTTTGTTTTCATTTCCTCCAACGCTTGTTCCAATTGTTGAACCAAATGAAGCAGAGTGGCTGGGTCTGTCTGCAGAACTTTGGTGTTGTGATCTCCATTCTGATTAAGGTGTAGCTTTATAGTCACTGATGGTTTAATCTGTTGCCTGAGGCTTCTGCTTGCAAGCTTCATTTTAAGTGGAATAAGAGCATAATTACTATTTAATAATCATGCTGAATATTTATAATTACTTTATACCATATACAAAAATCAAATTTTACATGAATCACAGACTTCAAAATGAAAAATAAACTCTAAGAAACTTTGGAAAAGAGAAAAGAAGAGAATATGTACACAACCTTTCCATACAAAATTTCTTAAACATGATAATAAAAGGCACAAACCATAAAGAAAAAAACTGATAAATGGAAATACATTAAAATTAATACATTTTCTTCCAAAGGATACCTAAAGATGGTAGAAAACAAGCCACAAACTGAGAGAAGATATTTTGTAACCTATATAACCAAAAAAAAAGATTAGTATTCAGAATGTATGACAACCTGTTCTGATTAAAAACAATAACACAAGCAGAAAAAAACCCCACAAGACCAAGAGAAAAATGTGCAGAAGACCTAAGTAAGCACTTCACAAAAGAAGTAACACAAATAAACATAGGAAATTGTTTTGAACAATTGAACATGTGTTCAATTTTATTAGAAATCAGGAAAATGGCCAATAAAACCATAAGGTATTATTTTATACATATCAGACTGGCAAGAATTAAAAAACTATCCATTTGGAGGCACTGTGAGCAACTGTCATGGGAACTCTCACTGCTTTGGAAAACAATATACATTACCATCAATTCCACTCCTAGGTATATACCTTGAATTCTTACATGTATACATTATATTTACACAGTAATTGTTTTGGGTTCCAAGAGTCAAAAATTAGGTCTTCAGTGTTCTTTAGTAATAGAATGGATACACTGAGAATATTCATACAGTAAAATGCTTACTAAATAGCAACAAAAAGAAACAAACTACAGGGATGACCAGGTGGCTCAGCCTTGAGTGTCTGCCTTTGGCTCAGGTTGTGACCCTGGGGTTCCAGCATCAAGTCCCACATCCGGCTCCCAGCATGGAGCCTGCCTTTCCCTCTGCCTCTCTCTCTCTCTCTCAATCTGTCTCTCATGAATAAATAAATAAATAGTTAAAAAAAAAAAAAAGAAACAAACTACAGCAATATAAATTGTTATGGATAAACCTAAAAGTATGTTCAATCAAAAGCAAGTTGCAGAAGAAAACAAAAACTAAAGTTTAATGAAAAAATATGCACAAAAAAACTATAAAGAGTATTAACAGAAAATTCAGGATAATGGTTACCTACAGTAGCATGGGAGGGGTTAAAATTGGGGGAGGTCACAAATGGTTTTGCTATATTTCTTAAGCATGGCAATAAGTACTTGTTTTATTATTATTCTTTGAACTGAGTATCTATTATCTTTTGTGGGTATGATATATTCTGAAATTAAAAAATACTATTGATATATTTTTAAAATTTTTATTCAAATTCAATTAATTAATATATAATAATATAATATATTATTGGTTTCAGACGTACAGGGCAGTGATTCATCAGTCTTATATAATACTCAGTGCTCATAATATCATGTGCCCTCCTTAATGCCCATCACCCAGTTACCCTGTCCCTCCACCTTTCTCCCCTCCAGCAGCCCTCAGTTTGTTTCCTATGATTAAGAGTATCTTATTATTGACATATTTTTAAAAGAAAAAAACCACAAACACTAGAAACAATGGCTAACTTGGAAGCGACAGAATTTAGTCCTAGCACCAGACTGTTCTCCAAAGACCATTCTTCCTTAAAAGGAACCAGGACCTTCTTAAAGTAACAGCTGATTAGAGGTCTGAGACATCATATAAGATGAGCCTGAAACATCTTGTTATACAAGAAAGCAAGATTGCTACCTGAAACTATCAGAGTCCTATCAAAAGGACACAAAACCAAATTGAAGAGACTTCTAGCAAGTAACAAATCTAACCTGAGATTTCAGGATTAATTTCATACCACGACATAGAATATTCTGACTAATAACTTCTTCCAATTAATTCTAGGTGATCTGGCTTCCAAACCCAAGATACTGATCCACAGCTGAAATTTAATGTTGAAAAATAATTTGGAAACAATAGGATATTCCCCCCCCTTCAGTGAGCCAGTCTCCAAATATAATGTAGGTACTTGTGAGTTAAATTATCTCTTTACAATCATTTCTCTAATACAGAAAATTATAGGTATGAAAGATAGGGTATGATGACTGAAAATAATACTTATCCATTCACTTACGCATTGCTTATCCTTCTCTTTCCTCTATCTCTGCATTGACGGATAGGGACCAAATGTATCTAGGTGTGTAATTAAGCCATGAACTTTTTTTTTTTTTTTAAGCCATTAACTTTTTGTTCAAACACTTAAGGTCACTCAATCTATCCTCAAATTTTTAGAGAATATCTAAGTTAATATCCTTTACAAATTCATATCCATACCATTCTTTAACATTTCTAAATAAAGATGATACAACATCCCTAACAAACACCTAGTAAGACAGTCAGACCTTTTTTATTCTCGGAGAGAAATTTCAGTGACACTAAGGATGAACAGTAGTCCACAAAATTCTTGATATGGACTCATTTTTTTGATAAGGATGAAATCCTGTCCTTCTTGTAAAAATAACAACAGCAATTTAAATGGATCACTCCTGGGTGGCTCAGCGGTTTAGCGCCACCTTTGGCCCAGGGTGTGATCCTAGAGACCCTGGATCGAGTCCCACATTGGGCTCCCTGCGTGAAGCCTGCTTCTCCCTCTGCCTGTGTCTCTGCCTCCCTCTCTGTGTCTCTTATGCATAAATAAATAAAATCTTAAAAAAAAAAATAAATGAATCAGTCCTAAAGGTAAATCTCTCCATACCAGTCTCAGATGCCGTTTACTGATGCTATCAAATGCATCAATTGTGCTGGCAATTTATGAAGGGAAATGTTTCTATTAGAAATTAAACTAAACTATGATGACTGATGTATTTCTCATAAGCAACTGCACAATAATTAGATGGTAATGTCCTTTCACTACCAGTGTCCGTGAGACAAGTGAGTCACTAAAAAATGAAAGGTCCTATATCCTGTTAATAGTTTCCCAGTCATTTAACTGATCTTCACCTGACAAGTCTTCCTCCCATAACCAGGAGAATCTACTCCGGTTAAAATCCCTTGTAAAAATTTCAACTAATGAGCTCCGAAAATCCATTAGTTCTCTTAGAAGCTTTTCAGCCCTTAAATGCATTTCATCATAAGAAGCAATATTCATTCAGTATACCCTCAACTTTAAACTATTAGTCCCTGCAATAACATGGCTATTCAAACCCATTTCATGAGGTAAATGAGCTCTCCGGAGTTTTAGAAAATTCAACTCCTTAAGTTTCTAATTTCTAAAGATGTCTTCAAAATGGAAAAACTTAAAGCAAATCAATAAAGCCAAAAAAATAATTTTTAAGGGCTACCAGAACCCAAAAGCCAGAAACTATCCCTACCCAAGAGAGAGAGAGAAAGATGTATAAGATAATTTACTGCTGAATCTCATGAACATGACCATCCCCACACCTCCTCCACCTGGTTATTTTGAGAGGATTGAAACATAAAAGCTTAGCAATAGTGATCTCCTCCTCCCTAGGAAGCCCACAGGATTTGCTTCTTACGGGGTCTCCAAGAGCATGAACTGTGTCTGATTCTTTGTGAATCCATACCATCTAGCACATGATAACTGTATAAAAAATACTTGATACAAAATTTGTTAAGAAGCTATTTACCCCCCCAACCCCCACCTTTTAAAATATTCAGTACCGAATGCCCATTATGTACCAGACATTGTGCTGGGGACAGAGGAGTGAATGAGGCACAGAACCTGCCTTCATGGAGCCTGTAATCTGGTTTATACCACATCTGTGTTTATACCTATTCAAGCACTAATCAGACTGGATTATAATTGCTAAACCCTCTAACTGGATTTCTGTAACTTGTTTAGACCATCTTACCACCATTCAAAAAGGAAGAATCCACTCTAACAGTGGTTTACAAACTTCCTTGCAAGTCAGAAATATCCAGGTAACAAGGTTTAAAAAATCCTGATGCCCAGGCCAAATCTCATAACAATAAATTAAAATCTCTGGGGATGGAACACAGATGAGAAAATTTTAAAACTACCCAGGCCATTTCAATATATAGTCAAGTTTGGGGACTAGTGCACCGTACCACATATTCAATGCTCATTCCCATATCCATGTGGGCCTTTACAACTTTTGCTGCCTCGTCTTTCAAGATTAGCACTGGTTTTCTCATTCATGCATCCTTCTGAAATTTCATCTCCTTTTGTTGAAGCTTTTCTGGTTCCTTCAACTGTACACTGAACTACGTTATAGGATTTTGAAATACAGTACTCAGTTGTACCTTCATTTATACAATTACATTTTTCCCCCTCCAGAAATTTCTTTTATAACTATCTTTAGTTACTAGTTATTTTGAGAACATCTAATATCCCTAACTAGATAACATCTTTTTCATCTGAGAAAATGTTAAGATATTTTGGGACTTTTTTTTTTCTCCTTCTGCCTGGAATGCTATTCTTTGAGCAATTTCCATGGCACTTTAAGATTTAGATCTCCCCTCAAAAGGTACCTGAGGCCTATCCTGACCCCTTCATCTGGAAGAGCCTTGGACTCCAGCTATCCCCTATCATATTCATTATACTGGTGTTTTGTTTTGTTTTGTTTTTTCCCCTGAAGAGCACTGGTCTAGCCAGTATTATCTTATTGAGTGACATATTTCATTTCTGGCAGTAACTATCTTGTCTGGCTTGGTGACTGCAGGATCTCCAGCACCAGGAACTATTCTCTGGTACAGAAAAGAGTGGGTCTCAGGTTGGCTTCTCATAGGAATCGCCTGTAAAATTTTAAACATTTCAAATTCTAAAAATCTTGCCTCCCAAAATAAGAAATCTTTAATCATGAAGTCCCTTGACCAAGAAAATGTGAGATATAGTTTTCTACAGGAGATACAGAATACGTGAGTGTGTGTGTGTGTGTGTGTGCGCGTGTGTGTGCTGGCTTGTGTTCAAAAGCAGAAGAGGTTTAGGTTTGCATGCACCACTCGGGCCTCCAGTTTTTACCATAGAAATGTGATATGCTAAATATAGGGCAGTGTGTTGTAAAACTTCTGGGTCACAAAGCCTTTGGCATAGCTCTAATCAGGAAATGGATGACATTCAATAAACATCTATCAAACTTATCTGTCACACTGCTTGATAAAGGGCTACAAGTAAGAGTCTGAGAACTCCCTTTGGTTATCTGTGTGCCTTTAAAAACAATTGAATCTTTCAAACAGAATGTATACAAGCCAGACACAAAAGAATATTTACTGAATCGTTCTGTACATGGAAAGTTAAAGAACGGGCAAAAGTAATCTATATATTTAAAGTCAGGACGCTGGTTACCTTTGGAAAGAAAGGAAGGGGAAGCAATTGGTAGGAGGCAAAGAGGATGCTTCTGGGGTGCCTATCATGGGCAAGTGTTGGTTTTCACCACGTGATAACTCAACTGAGCTTTACAATGACCTGTGCATTAATTTAATTCATGTGCGTTTTGTTTAAGCATAAAAGTTTCATAAAATCAAATACGACTTAAAAATTTGTATGACCATCTCCTTTCCAAATAACCCCTTTCTTACAAACTTTGAAAATTAATCTAAACACATTACGCATATAAGAAAATGAACTATTTGTGAAATGGTCTCAAAATAAACATTCAAAAAACCTGTTTGAAACCAAAGTTTGGTTAAGGTGGTAAAGAATACAACAAACCTAAGGACATAGAGCCAAAATTAATCTTATATTGTATGTCACGTGGGGTTGGCAGAGCCATACCTGTACATCCAGTCGCCATTCAAGGCTGTGGTAACTTGGAAGGTCTGGTGACAGTTCACTCAGAATAGTTCTTATCTCTTTTCTGTTGTCCAGATAAAGCTGAAGCAGTAATTTGTTCAATTCTTCAGAGAATCCCAAAACAAAAACAGAGTCTTGGAAATCCAGTTCAGAAATCTGAAAGTGAGAACATTAAATTTACCTTTGTCTGGTAAATGCTAAAATATTTGATATACACAAAAGAACATGATATCCCCTAATTCTTTTCTACTTGGTAAGAGAAACAATATCCTTTATATTCAAAGGATATAGTGGGAATTGCCCACTATTCCAGCATCTGTCTCTGATACATAAAAATACTTTTATTAAAACATTAAAACAATTGCTAGAATGCCCAGTTTCTCTCTTATTCTCCATCAGGCTAGATCCTGCGAAGATGCACATGCAAAAAAATCATTTAATTCTCCCTCCTCCTAGGATACATACTCTTGTACGTGGTTTTAATAACATGCAGAATTAGAGGTAATTCTAATTATACTAGCAAGAGGCATTCATATCAGCAGATCACATTATAGTCACATTGTTTAGGCACTGACTTCACTAAGTCAATTACAAAGCATTAACAACATTACTGAAATAAGCAGGTGCCTGCCAGGCCTGTGATGTAGAGTATACCAGGCCTTTTTAAGGTCAAAGAAATAAATACATGGTAAGAAAGCCCTTACCATAAGCTTTGAGCTTTCAGTGAGAAGATATGTTAATCCTTCCACACCATGCTGGACAGTGTCACTGCTCACACTGAGTTTTCCTGGGAAAGCGGGAAAAAACAAGCAAATAAATTATTGTGTGACGTTTATCCTTTTTATTAAAATTGTTATTTAGGTGAGAACCTGGGTGGCTCAGGTCGGGATCCTGGAGTCCCCGAATCCAGTTCCGCCTCCGGGCTTCTCCCTCCACCTATGTCTCTGCCTCTCTCTCTCTCTCTCTCTCTCTCTCTCTCATGAATAAATAAATAAAATCTTTAAAAATTTTCTCATTTAGGAACAAATATCCATTATTTCTTATTTTCAAGCACTGCAATTAAAAAAATAATGAGTTAATAACAGCCTCCTGTTCAGGCTCCGCTGCCACACCAACGCCTTCAATATCCACCCTCCCCCCCCCCCACCCCGGTGTAACCTCTACAAAATGCAGACCCCTGGAAACTGGTTGTCAGGAGCACCGTCCTCCTCTGGAACGCCCGGCTATTATTTCAAGTCTGGCAGAAGAGGAACTCCAGGGACTGACCATCTCAGAAAACACCCTCGTCCAGCATGGGGAAAAAAAAAAAAATACTGCAGCAAAAGCGGACGTCTGAACAACTAGTTATAAACATGCACCCGGGGGGGGGGGAATCCCTGGGTGGCTCAGCGGTGGAGCGTCAGCCTTCGGCCCAGGGCGTGATCCTGGGGTGTCGGGATCGAGTTCCGCATCGGGCTCCCTGCGTGGAGCCTGCTTCTCCCTCTGCCTGTGTCTCTGCCTCTCTCTGTGTCTATCATGATTGATTGATTGACTAATTAATTAATTAATTAATTAAAAATAAACATGCACCTGCGCGACGTTAACGGGCTCACCCAGCTACTCCGCGCACTTGGGTGCATTTAAGCATCACAGCACCTCTGGCAGGTGGTATTACGTGCACGGGACGCATGACAAAACCGACTTAGTGGGAGCTTGAAAAAGCTCAAAGCTGGGGCGCCGGGGGGCTCCGGGGTTGAGCACCTGCCTTCAGCCCAGGGCGTGACCCCGGGGTCCCGGGATCGGGTCCCGCGTCGGGCTCCCTGCACGGAGCCTGCTTCTCCCTCTGCCTGTGTCTCTGCCTCTCCCTCTCTCTCTCTGTGTCCCTCACGAATAAATAAAACAACAACAACAACAACAACAACAACAACAAAAAACCCAAAACACACCAAACTCAAGGCGGCTTAGGGGTCGGGCAGGACCTGCCTCCCGAAGGGCCCTCCTGCTTTCATCCCACCACACGGAGTGAGACCCGCGGCGCTGCACAGACCCTCAGCCCGGCCCGCACCCCCGGCCCCGCGCGGCCCCCCTCCCCGTCTTACGGGCGGCGCCTTCGTAGACCTTGGGGTTCGAGCCTCGCCTCAGGAACTCCACCGCAATCCGCCCGAACTCGGCGACCACTGCAACGGAAGAGGCCAGGAGGCCATGAGCGCCGGCCGCACCGCGGCCCCCCGGCCCCCCGCCCCCCGCCCCAGGCCGCAGAGCGCCACCCTCCGCTGCCGCGCCCCCTGACCCGCGCTGTCCACTTGCGGCAAGAACGCCAGGTGCTCCTTGTGCTCCTCCGACAGGTCCAGCAGCATCTTCGCGAGGCGGAGGATTTCCGTCGGCGGCGCCGCCCTCGCCCCGCCCCTTCCGGGGCCGGCGTCCCGGCGCAAAGAGGCTCCGGCGCCTCAACAGCCCGGGGCCTTGGGTTCCGGTCTGCCCCGGCCCTGCACGGCGTCGGAAGGGGTTCTTCCGCGCGCACGTCGCGGATCGCCCGGAAGCGCCGCGGCCGGGGAGGCCGCGCAGCGCCCCGCGGACTGTGGGCAGGTGTTCGAGCTCCGACGCGCCCCCTTGGGGACCTTACGTTAATCATACCAACAGCTGGCATTTATTAAGCGCTAGGTCAGGAAATGTCCTTTCATTTATTCACTGATCCAGGGTTCAAAGGCATTCCAGGAGGGGGGGTACCATTGTTCCTCCAGGTACAGGTAAGGAAACAGAAAATGGTCAAGCATCTGAAAGTAATTTTTTTAGAGCTATTAGTTTGCACAGAGCCTTTTTTTTTTTTAAATGGATTTTATTTATTTATTTATTCATGAGAAACAGAGACACAGGCATAGGGGGAAGCAGGCTCCCCATGGGGAACGGGGATGCGGGACTCGATCCCGTGACCCTGGGGTCACGCCCTGAGCCGAAGGCAGATGCTCCACCACGGAGCCACCCAGGTGCCCCTGCACAGAGCTTTTGGTGTATTATTTTACTTGTTTCGCCTTACTTCATTTGCTCAATAGCTATGACCTCGTTTTTACAGATGGAGAACCCAAGCTCCAAAAGATTACATAATCAGCCAGAGACAGAGCTGGAAGGACAGGGTCAAGTCCCTCGATGACCTGCTCCAAAGCCCATCATTCTACATAGCAGGCTGAGAACGGAAGGTTTGTGACAAGTTCTGCGAGTGATTATGAATTACGATAAAGACGGTGGTGATGAGGGCAATGACTGATGCTTGCTGGGTTCAGAACAGTATCTCTATTTTGATGTGTTGAGGGTATGGTGAAAATCGGGTTCCTTTCCCAGCTTTCTCTTCTCACCGGCTGTGGTTCAAATAACAGAGTACAGAATTGCTAATTAATAGGAATATGACTCTCCAATTCTCAACCCCTTGGTGGGGGGGAAAAGGGGAAGGGGGTGGAGAGAGAGACTTCCTACCTAGTGTTGTATCTAAGGATTGAGACAACGCCCTCTATACTCTTGATTCTTCTGGGCAGAAATGAAAATTGAACGTTTTTCAGCTCTGTTTGCTCTGTGTACCTTGTCCTTCACATTGAAATTGTTTGTTTTTGCTTTTAAGATTTTATTTATTCATCAGAAACAGAGAGAGAGAGAGAGAGAGAGAGGGGAGCAGAGACACAGGCAGAGGGAGAAGCAGGCTCCATGCAGGGAGCCTAGGGCGGGACTCGATCCCAGGACTCCAGGATAACACCCTGAGATGAAGGCAGACCCTCAACCACTGAGCCACCCAGGTGTCCCCACATTGAAGTTGTTTGCTTCTCCCACTGCTGTAAGGAAAGACACATCCTTAAACTTGTTAGGTCATGAGGCAGCATTTGCAGAGAGAGCACAATTTTTTCTTAGACTCTGAAACGCAGATCAGGAAAAATGGCATCGTTTCTTAAGCTCTTATTCATACATTGTTCAGAAAGTGTCCATTATTTGGGAATAACTTTCAGAAAAGGTAAAATCGTGATTCTTTTACAAATATGCAATGAATACATGTCAAAGATTGTGTTGGACCCATGGGTTAATGAGGGGATCAGTAAGATAATAGTAAGAACCAGTTTCAAGTAGCACAAAGGAGATAATTCAAGAGCCATAATTAAAACTCTTCAGGATAAATTGCAGGGCAGCTTTTTATTACCATATGTCATATAGTTGTTTAGAGGAAATTACCTGAATGAAAAGTCAGAAGTCTAGATTCCAGATCTGGCTCTCAAACCTACTACCTGTAAGGCCTCCAATAAGTTCATTTTATATGTTATAAACTTAGCCTCTTCATTTTTAAATGGGTGCCTTAATCATGACTGCCTTTATGTGCCATGCAGGGCTGTTATCATGTTTAGATGAAATACTAAGTCACATTAAGAAATTGATTTTAATGATCAAATGAAACAATACATTAGTATTAGACACTTGAAAGATTTGTAAATGGTAGCATTTATATTTTGTAGAAGATTTTATGTGCCCAAATCATTGAGAATTCTGCATGCATAATCATCCTAAAATTCATTCATTTAATGCAACAAATACTTATAGAGCAATTACTCAAAGGTTCCAGCGTATGCTATGCCTTGGCAATTTGGAGATGAATAAAACATGTCCTTTCCTCTGGGAGGTGACAATAAAGTGAGGGAGACAAGTGAAGTCAATGTAGTATGGTGAGTGATGATACTTGAGGACTGAACAGAATGATATGGAACCATAGAGAAGGTAGCAATCGATTCTGATTCCAGTAAGATTCAGGCTTAGAGTAAATGTCCCAGGGTGTGCCTGTGCATGCTAATATGAATGCTTTACAATAGTATAACATTGTAAGTATATAAGGTCTTTTTTTTTTTTTTTTTAGTATATAAGGTCTTAAAATCACTTCATGCTATTTTACTTCTGGGGCTAAAGTGAAGAAAGAATAAATACTCAGTTGTTAATTCTGGCAGGGAACAAAGCTTCATATCAGTTTTCCTCCCACATTCTCTCCTTATCTATCTCCCTCCACCTCATCCACTTTCCTTTTCCTTTAGATTTCCCCACATTGCTTTGTCCTTCTTAGGCATTCCAGCCTCAGAATCTGCACTGGCATTTCCTTGGCTGTGTTTCAATGTTACATAAAATATTATCATCCCCTGCAAGGAATTGCAGTTCAATTCAGCATACTGGGAAGGGGATAAAAGCATAGTCATAACCATCACTCACATGAATTGCCCTCCCATGAATCTAAGGCTGGCACAAAATGCATGAATTAGTTCCTTAGATCTAAAAAAAAATTATTTATTTATTTGTTTGTTTGTTTGTTTGTTTATTTATTTATTTATTATTTATTTATTTGATTTATTTTTTGAGAGGGAGAGAAAGTATGAGCAAGCATGAGCGGGGGGAGGGGCAGAGAGAAAATCAGATTCCCAGATGAGCAGGGAGCTTGACAGAAGCATGGCTCCATCCCAGGATCCTGAGATCATGACCTGAGCCAAAGGCAGCTGTTTAACCGACTCAGCCACCCATATGCCCCTAAAAAAATTATTTTAGTTCACTTCTTTCTTTTTTTTTTAAATTATTCATGAGATACACAGAGAGAGGGGGAGAGACATAGGCAGAGGGAGAAACAGGCTCTTTGCAGGGAGCCCAATGTAGGACTCCATCCTGGAACTCTGGGATTACACCCTGAGCCTAAAGCAGACACTCAACTGCTGAGCCACTGCGGCATCCCTAGTTCACTTTTTCAATTGGATTCTGAAATACAATCAGAAACTGGAAAAGATAAAAAATACTTTTTGTTGAATTTTCTCAAATTGACCACACTTAGTAATCCAGATCAAGAAATAAAATGTTACCAGTACCCCAGAACCTCTGCAGTGCCCTCTTCCCATTACTATCCCTTCTTATTGTCTCTACAGTGAACTAGTACCTATTCACATGCTCTCTTACAACATCTCTTTGGCATCATCTTTGTATTTGTTTTTACATTAACCTTTTTTTTTTAAAGATTTATTTATTTATTCATTCAGAGAGAGCGAAGAGAGAGGCAGAGACACAGGCAGAGGGAGAAGCAGGCTCCATTCAGGGAGCCCGATATGGGACTCCATCCTGGGTCTCCAAGATCACACCCCAGGCTGCAGGCGGCCCTAAACCGTTGCGCCACCAGGGCTGCCCTTACATTAACCTTCTCTGTACCCCAACCCCATAGTATCTAACTAGAAACTTAAAGGTATTTTTTAAAATGAAATTTAGGTTTTAGGTACTTTTGACTATTGTAACAGATCTGTCTTAGAAATCTTCCGAGCGGGATCCCTGGGTGGCTCAGCGGTTTAGCGCTGCCTTTGGCCCAGGGCGTGATCCTGGAGACCCGGGATCCAGTCTCACATCAGGCTCCCTGTGTGGAGCCTGCTTCTCCCTCTGCCTGTGTCTCTGCCTCTCTCTCTCTCTCTCTCTCTCTCTCTCTCTGTCTCTCATGAATAAATAAATAAAATCTTAAAAAAAATCTTCCTAGCAAATAATATAAAAAAATAAAATATTTTAAAATTTAACAAAAGATTTGTAAGACCCCTACCCTAAAAACTAAAAAACATTGATGAGAGATATAAAGGAAGATTGAAATAAACGGCGACATATACCATGGATAGAGCAATATATCATGGATTGTAAGATTCAATATTATTAAGATATTACTTGTGCTTTTTTATAGAGAATGACAAGTTTATTTAAAAATCTATATGAGGGCAGCCCGGGTGGCTCAGAGGTTTAGCACTGCCTTCAGCCCAGGGCCTGATCCTGGAGACCCGGGATCAAGTCCCACGTTGGGCTCCCTGCATGGAGCCTGCTTCTCCCTCTGCCTATGCCTCTGCCTGCCTCTCTCAATCTCTCTCTCTGTCTCTCATTAATAAATAAATAAAATCTTAAAAAAAAATAAAAATCTATATGAAAATACAAAGGACTGAGAATAACTGAAACAAATTTGGAAAAGAAGAATAAAGCTAGAATATACATACTACCTGATTTCAAGAACCACTGTAAAGCTATAGCAATTAAGACAGTGTGATATTAGTATAATCATAAGTAAACAGATCAATGGAACAAAATAGAAAATCTAGAAATAGGTCTACATAGATTATATGAAATACATATATTATAAATTGATTTTTTTAATAAAGATACCAATGTAATTCAATGAGAGAAAAGAAAGTCTTTTCAACAACTGGTACTAGAACAATTTGATAAACTTACGGGAAAAAAAATGAATCCTGACCCTCACCTCGTATCATATACACAAAAATAATTCAAGATGGATTATAGACCTAGCATAAAAGCTAAAACATTAAACTTCTAGAAGAGAGCATATGAAGATATCTTCAAGACTTTGGGATAGGCAGACAGTTCTTAGAGGAAACAGATGACATGAACCATAAAAGAAAAAAGATGATAAATTGTACTTCATCAAAGTTAAAAACTTTCATTCATCAAAAGGCACCATTAATAAAATTGAAAAGTAAGCCACAGACTGGAAAAAAAATATTTGCAATACATATATCTGACAGCGAATTTGTACCATAAATATATAGAAATTTCCAATAAACCAGTAATTAAAAGATGAATAACCTGGGACATCAGGGTTGGGCATCTACCTTTGGCTCAGGTCTTGATCCCAGGGTCCTGGGATCAAGTCCTGCATCAGGCTTCCCTTGGGGAGCCTGCTTCTCCCTCTGCCTATGTCTCAGCCTCTCTCTGTGTCTCTCTCTGTGTCTTCTCATTAAAACAAAACAAAACAAAACAAAAAAACAGCAAAAAAACTTTATTTTTAAAGATTTTAAAATAAAATCTTTTTAAAAAAAGATGAATAGGGGATCCCTGGGTGGCGCAGCAGTTTAGCGCCTGCCTTTGGCCCAGGGCGCGATCCTGGAGACCCGGGATCAAGTCCCACGTCGGGCTCCCGGTGCATGGAGCCTGCTTCTCCCTCTGCCTGTGTCTCTGCCTCTCTCTCTCTCTCTCTCTCTCTCTCTCTCTCTGTGACTATCATAAATAAATAAAAATTTTAAAATAAATAAATAAGTAAATAAGTAAATAAATAAATAAATAGATGAGTAACCCAATATTTTACATGGGCAAAACTCTTGAGTTGATACTTCACAAAGAAGATATACAAATGACCAATAAGCACATGAAAAAGCATTCAGTATTATTAGTCATCAAGGAAATGCAAATTAATACCACAACGAGATGCCATTTCAAACCCACTAGAATAACAAAATCAAAAACACTGATGACCAAATTTTGACTAGTATGTGGAGCAACCTTAACATTTGTACATTGTTAATGGAGTATAAAATCATAAAACTACTTCAGAGAACTGTTATGCAATTTCTTACAATTTTAAATGTACATTTACTCTATTATCCAACAATTCCATTCCTAAGTATTTGCCCAAGAGGGATGAAAGCATATGTCCAGGAAAAGACCTTTACAATAATGTTCATAGCAGTTTTATTCACAATAACATAAACTGGAGCCCAAATATACATTTAGTTGAACAGGTAAATTATGGTGTATCCATAGAATGGAATATACTAGGTAATAAAAAAAATAGGAATAAGAAAGATCTGAATGAAGGAAGTATAGATAATAGAGTTATTAGGCCTGGACTCCAAAATAACTATGAATAATATGTCCAAAACATTAGATGACAGATGAAAAATTTAATCAGAGAAGTAGAAACTGTAAAAAAAGAAAAAAAGAAGAAAAAAGAAAATAAGAAAGCAAATATACCATAGGAAAAATTAAAAATAATATTACACTGTAAAAAATAGAAATCAGAGTAGTGTATGCCTCTAGGGGATTGGGATGGACTTAGTTAAGGGAGTTTGAAGGGACTTTCTGGGCTAATGGAAATATTTACATCTTGATTGAGGGATTACTCTGATGTATGTTTGTCAAAGCCATTAAATCTTACATTTGAGATTTGTGCAATTCACCATATGTATTAAATTTTAAAAATTAATAAAAAGCAGTGTTTTAGCAGAAGTTCAAAAGATGTCCAAGACTAGCACGTGACCTAAATCAAGTATGTGTAACTCTCCTAGGGGACTCTCCTTATAGAGAATCTTAAAATTAGTGTATTTTTACTCTGTACTATATTCATATGGTTTAAGAAACAAAAAGCACTAAAAATAACCCCAGGAAAACAAAAAAGAGAAAGAAACAGTAAAAGTTCTCATTCTCCATCCTGTTTCCCATCCTTTCAGTTTTCCTACCCTGCAGACAACTACTCCTCTCAGTTTCTTAAGAATTCTTCAAGAAACTCTGTAAAAACATATGCCTGAGATGTTCACTTATAGTGATGGAGTTCGAGAAAATGTGACTTTCAACATTAAATATCTTGTTGACAGTTGTGTAGTATTAGAATTGTTATTAGAAATTACAGCATTAGTCACGTGAAATGTTAACATTAGAACTAAAGGTTTTGTTTGACCAGGTCTTTGCCCAAATTGAGATTGTCATGACTTTTCAAAGCACAATTTTTGGAGGATTTTCACGTGCTGTTAGGTCTTCTTAGGTCAGGTTAGAAATGCTCTTTTTGGCTAGAACTCTTGCTATTCCCAACTGCTGAAGCCATCGTTTCTCTTTAAAGGCACTGCAAGAAAACAAAAATAATTTGTAAGGAAGTCTGATCTTGTCCCTATTTATCGCTGAAATGATAGAAATCTCTAGGTTGATTTTGTAGCTGCTGCTAGTTTATCTTAAGCACACAAGATAGATTGTAAAATAGAAAAGAGGACTGTTTCTCAAACTAGTTCCCTGTGAAGCAGTGGCAATGATATTTTACCAAGGCAACACCAGAAATTTAGCACCCACACCTAGAAACAGAACACCGCTTGATGTTATATAGGATTTTCTAGATTGAAACTTTTTCTGATTGTTCCCCCAGGCACCTTATACATAATATATTCCCTGATGTGCCTCCCTTCTCCTCCTTTTCCCCACCACAAAAACACTTCTTTTTCATTGATAAGGTATTAAATAACATTTTACCAAAATGCAATGAAACTTAATGTTTCATGGTAGCTACTCTCTGGCTATACACTAAGATTTGTACACTTGAATTTGATTACTCCTACTTTGTAGGGTATAACTATAATTTACCTTAGAGGGGTCCTCTGAGATTCTATCCTTGTCTTCCTCTCTGCACCCTCACCCTCAGAGCCTTTTTTTTTTCACTGATTGTTTCAACTCACATATCCATGACTCCTAAATCCTGACCAACACTTCCAATTTCTATGTCTTTTATCTTCTTCCTAAACCTGTCCCCCATCCACATCCTTGCTCTAACACAACGACTTTGCTATCTCCTCACCATCTCTACATCTGGAAACAAACCTCAATTCCTCCGGCTGTCTCTACTTCTGCATCTAGTTAGTGATCTCATTTTGCAGATTATTCCTCAGAAGTATCTGTCATATTTGGCTTTTCTCCTCTTCCCTACCTACTTCTGCTCTAGTCCAGGTCTTTATCATTCCTTGTTTCTCTGATTACAACCTCCTAAATCTACTGTAGGCCCTCCACAGCTTCAATAAGACTTCTTCCCAGTGATTCTTCCACATATCTCCACCAGATCTGTCTTCCTTTTTTTTTTAAGATTTTATTTATTTATTCATGAGAGACACAGAGAGAGGGAGAAAGAGAGAGAGAGAGAGAGAGAGAGAGAGAGAGAGACATAGGCAGAGTTCGAGAAGCAGGCTCCCTGTGAAAAGACTGATGCGGGACTCGATCCCAGGACTCCTGGGATCATGACCTGAGCCAAACGAAGGCAGATGCTCAACCACTGAGCCACCCAGGCGTCCCCAGATTTGTCTTAAAAAATAAACACAAACTTATCATATGATTTGCCTGATAGAAAAGAAAAAAACAACCCACAAACCTCTGTGGTCTACCTACCTACTTACTTCCTAATAAGCAAACTCTCCACTTGGGTATACAAGACGCTTGTCAGGGTAGGTGCAAATTACTTTGCCAGTCCCATCTTCAGCCAGTTTCTCCCTGTCCCCTAAAATGCCATTTCCAGATCCACTTACTTCTTTGAAAACTAAAATTTTCTCGAACCCCTTCACAAAGTAGTGCCCTTGACCATGTTGCCACCTCTACCTGGCTCCTTTTCCTTACCACCACCCCTTTTGTCTGGCAAAGTCCTTTCAATTTAAAGGGCTTTCACTAAACCTATCAGAAGCAATCTTGCATAAAAGTACCTTAGTGTTTCAAATATTTGAACTCTGTCCAAGTTTGCCTAATTCATCATTAATGTTCTAGATTAACTCTCTGCTTTTACCTTTGCACGTTGGCAATCTGCCTAGCACTTCACTGTTGACATAATAAGCACTTCAGAATGTTTTAAAACTGTATCTTTTTTTTTTAAAGATTTATTTATTTATTTATTCATGACAGACAGAGAGAGAGGCAGAGACACAGGCAGAGAGAGAAGAAGGCTCCAGGCAGAGAGCCCGATGTGGGACTCGATCCTGGGTCTCCAGGATCACACCCCGGGCTGAAGGCGGCACTGAAACCACTGGGCCACCGGGGCTGCCCTAAAACTGTATCTTTTGATTTCTAATGTGCATCCATTGATAAAACTAATCAGTTTCTTATGTTTACAGCCTGATTTTAAGATGGCTATATAATTTTTTTCAACCATTTTCTAGCCTTTTTATAGAATTTTAGAATATCTCTTTTTTATATACAGTCTAGTCAGAGATATCTCACAAATTACACAGACTGAAGTTGGTGAGCAGTTTCTTTTTTTTTTTTTTTTTTTTTTTTTTGAGCAGTTTCTTCATCTCCTGTCAACCTCATTGTGCTCCGGAATTTTGCCAGTTTTGTAGCCCAAATAACTGACCACTAGGTGGCAACAGCTTAGCTGAAATAAAGTAGAGCTGAACCGAAGAAGACCTCTACAAAAAGGCAACTTAAACAATGGGCCTTGTTTTGTTCTTTCCTTTTCATTATATTGAGTAAGGGGAAAAGCCACTCGTGAATCTACATTTCTACTGTAATATTAGCACCCAATAATACCTCATAAGTAATGGATGGGACCTGAGATCTGATCAGAGTCGTGTTTTCAGGGAAATCCAATGACTAATATGTAAAATTTTATCTTATTATAAAATGAATATGTCTGAAAAGTCTACTTCTGATACACTTGTTATTGTTTTTAAATGTGACAATGAGGGATGCCTGGGTGGCTCAGCGGTTGAGCGTCTGCCTTCAGTCCAGGATGTGATTTTAGAGTCCCGGGATTGAGTCCCACATCGGGCTCCTTGCATGGAGCCTGCTTCTCCCTTTGCCTGTGTCTCTGACTCTCCGTCTCTGGGTCTCTCATGAATAAATAAAATCTTTAAATAAAATAAAATAAATGTGGCAATGGATTACTTTTTAAGCTGACCTTAAATATTAATGTCAACTCTATCAGTGTCCAGTATGTCTGTCTTACCCAGTAAATCAACTGAAGTCTTTATGGTTCAGTTTGTCAATTCAGTTGTTCCTTTCTCACCTTCCACTTTCGTTACCATCCAGTCTTTCATGACACTTTCGATGGTTCTCTCCCACATTTCAAGTATTCCCCCTTCTCCCTTTAATTATATTTAACATTTTCTTATTAGTTCTTTTTTTTTTTTTTAAGGACAAGCAAAGGACCTTGTTATTTCATACAGCTCTTTGTACTGTGTCTCTTGTCTTTCTGAAAGCTTGAGGAGTCAAGTGCTACACTGATTGAATTAGCCAGTAAAATGAGTTCATTTGGTCCTAGACACAAGGCTAAGATGAGGTCCTTGAAGCTGGATACTGATGCGTTGGAACCACCTGTATTACACTGTATGGCATGGTGGTGCTTCATGAACCATTCCCTGCCCTAGACCTGCCCTATTAAAGATTTGCCCTTGTGCGTTTAAAGAGAAAACGTTACCTGGCCACGGCTAAGCAGTAGATGGCGATCTCCTTGGAGTCTTAACCACTGTGCTCTGAGAAATAGGCAAAGGAGGATTTGAGTAAAAAGGCAGCACTGGGTGTTGTATAGTAAAAAGATGGGTGTGAATAGCCCACTCTTGAAACTGGGGGGAGGGGGGCTTGGGGGAGATCTGTATTTTTTATGAGCTTTTCTTTTTCCTTAGCTGTTGCGGTAATTTTTTTCTGATTTTGTTGTTGTCTTTGTAATTCAGAGAATGTATTTGCATCTACCAGTGGAGGCAATTTCAAGGTTTGTTGCCTTGTATCCTGCTGTAAAATTGCCAAAGGATTGACTGGTTTCCTGCTTGCAGTTTCTTCACGTTGAGGCGGTAGCTTGCACACAGGGCTTTGCGAGTCCTTGTACCTAGCCTTATGCCAGCTTTTGGAGGTCATTTTTGGTGTGGTGAAACCATCCACCATCATGATGTCTCCAACTTTTGCCCCAAAGACCCTTGCTCCACAAAGCTGGCTTTTATTAAGGTTGTGACTCTGAGCTCTGAGGACCCATTGTTTTATTTTAATATAAATCCTCATGGGGACTGAAATTTTTGGAAAAGAAACTGTGAACCACATTTTACTCACTGTGGACCACATTTTACTCAATAAATATAATACACAATCTTTATGCTTGTGTTTAAGGCGATGGTCAGGGGAATTTGTCCCGTTGCATTTTTACATTCCAGGCACAGCACGCTGCAGTTGACAAAAGGCCTTCAGAATCAACAGTTGGCCCGCTTCTGCAGCTGCATGAATGGGGCATTTAGACATCTGCATGAAGGGCTTCATGGCACCATGCTCAGTAGGGGTGAACACCGACAGCTTCTTCGGGCCGCACGCCCTGTTTGAGGGCCCATTCGGTGAGCTCAGTGTACCCGTAAAAGGCCGCGATGTACAGGGCTACCTTTTTCTGATACCTGAATGAATGAAACAAGTAGGAGTGGGTGTTTAGTAAATCAGCAGACTGGTAAATGTAGTTACATCAAATACCCACAAAACATACTAGTTAAAATGTTTATTTCTTCCTAACTTTTACATAAGATGTTTTTCAGAAAAGGCAGATAGTAATACATAGGTTAAACTCCACAGGTCCTGGGGTCCCTGGGTGGCTCAGTTGGTTAAGCATCTGCCTTCAGCTCAGGTCATGATCTCAGGGTCCTGTAGTGGGCTCCCTGCTCAGCGGGGAGTGAGCATCTCCCTTTGCCCCTCCCCTCCGCTCTTGTTCTCTCTCTCTCTCACATAAATAAATAAAATCTTCAAAAAATAAACTACACAGGTCCTGCTTATCCCCATTATCCCACTGTGCACAGGTATATGTCCAAAGTGGTTTTCTTTCTTATGAAACTCAGGGTCTCAGGAAAAATATCAAGCTATCTCTCTCTCCCAATAGGGAGGGAGAGAGAAGTGGGAAGGGCAAGGGAGAGAGAGAGAGAGAGAGAGAGAGAATATCTTAAGCTCAGCATAGAGTCTGAATGCAGGGCTTGATCTCAAAACCTGAGATCACGATCTGAGCTGAAATCAAGAGGCAGACCCCTAACTGACTGAGCCACCCAGGCACTCTTCGAGCTTTATATTAACTGGGAAAGTACATTTTAGAAATTTGAAAGTTTTGTAGATTTATCTGTCTTGCCTTTTCTAACGACAGCCCTTTCTGGCTTCTCCAAGTCTCTCCTGCTATTCTGATCTAAACCACTAGGTCGCGCCCCAACCAGCACTACCACCCGTGCCATCCTCTCCTAACTGGAGCTCCTCTAGTTCTCCTAGGGGCTTTTTCTCACACGGTGCTGGGTGACCTTTTAATTCCCCAAACTGGAGGTTGCCTATCCTCTGTTCCAAATCTTCCAATTGCTTCCCACAATTGAAATCCGAATTCCCCACCTTGGCTCGCAAGACCTCTCACAATCTGGCCCCTGCCCCACTTTCCACAACCCCCCTACCCTGTCACTGCACTAGAGCCACACTGGCCTCCCTACAAATACTCCGTAAGGCATGAGTTGAATGACTGGTGCAGCCTGTTCAGAGAAATAAGAATTAGGGAGGCAATCCTGGACAGGGTCCCACCAGGTATTATCCGGGATTTATTTGGGCAGAGATATATTTGTAGAGATGGAGACAAGCTCATCCGTTATCAGCCTATGACTGACTCTCCTCTTTCTGATTACATGCTCACCACACCATCTTTTGATCTGTCTGTGGCTTCCTGTGTAATTTTCCTGCATAAGGAAGACGACCTGCCCAGAACACGTGGGTCTCTAGGACCCACAGGTAGATTATAACAGTGGTGATTAGATGATACCTAATTAGAGCTATTACATTAATATACACTGGCATTTTGGTTTGCACATCATTTTTTTTTCAAAATCATTTTTTTTCAAAATCCATTAATATACACTGGCATTTTGGTTTGCACATCATTTTTTTTTCAAAATCCATTTTTTTTTTCAAAATGCATTTTTAATGCAAATCAGCATCTCTGAATGTGATCAGTTTTCTTGATTTGGGGAGAAGAGCCCCTGGTGGTAGATACTAACTGGCCTTTGCCTTCATGCTTAGCACTGACATTATGGGAGCTAGAGGCACTCTAGACTAACTGATTCTCTTTCCTAAATGTGTCTTTTCATCGTTTGTTTTCTTAGCCTCACCCCTGCTGTCCTAAGCCTAGTTCAGGCCACTCTTACCTCTTGAGTGTCACCCTGTCTGTCCCCTGCCTGCCTCTATTCCTCACACCACAACCAGGGCGAGCGTTCTAAAGTGCAGATCTCACCCTGGCTTTTCTCTACCTTCAATATCTTGCCAACACTTAAAAGTGAATGTCCAAATTCCTTTACATTCCTGTGGGTGTCTGTAAGAGCTGGCCTCTTCTGATTTTTCTAGCCTCTGGCCACTAGCTCCTTCTCACTCTATGGGCTACCGTGTGAAACTTATTTCAGTTCCTTGAATTTATTCTCTTGCCCCCTGTGGCTTTGTACATGCAATTCCATCTGCCTTGGAATCTCTCTCTCTTTTCTTCTGCCAACTGTTTACCTAAGTACCAACCCTAGAGATCTCATCAATTGGCTTTCTCAGGATGCTTCACCTGGTCCTCTTAAGTCTAGTTAGTTGTCCATACTGTACATTCCCATGTCATCTTGCACTCTGTCTGTGTCATAACACTCTCACACTGAATGGTGACAGCAACAAGCCCTAGCATTTATGACCTGCTTACCATGTGATGTGCCAGCCCTTCTTCTAAATTCCTTTGATTATTAGGTCATGCAATCTCTAAAACAGATCTATGAGATAGATCGACTATTATTCTCTTTTTTTTTTTTTATTGCAGAGGAAACTGAGGTATAGGATGATTATGTAACTTGCTCGGGTTTATGCAACTAAGCACTTAGGGAGTGGGGCTTTGAACTTAGGCAGGAAGGCACTAGAGTTTGTGCCCCTAAACGTTTTGCAATTCTGCCTCTGTAGGAATCGGTTACTTATTTTCTGTTTCCCCTGCTGGACTGGAAAGATGCTGAAGCCTAGGGACCATATCTTGTTTATTGCTATATTCCTAGGATCTTGCATAGTACATGCTCAATAGATACTTGCTGATTGAATGGCAGGATAAAAGGAGCTTTTTGGCTTGTTCATGTGTGTTCTTTGAGCTGTTAGATCTTTTCTCCCTCTTTTCCCCCTTCTTCCCTGTATGCCTCTGTCCATTCTGTTTGTGTGTATGTGTGTGTGTGTGTTTGAACATGATGAGAAATACAGATAGTGTGGGCAGGGCGACTGCAGGCTGAGAACTGATCACCAGAGCCGATAAGGCCAGGAGCTGAATGAGCACGTGGGCCCATCTGGGCCACGTGCATGTGTACATGTTGGGGACAAGGTCCACAGCAGGCCTGCGGGCATGCTCCCGTTGTTCACCCTCCTTAGATTTGTTTTAAAGGTTAAGGTCAAATAGAATGACTAGGCATCTGAGCACTGGAGTTAAATTGTTGGGATTCCATATCCAATTGCGACCTGACTAGCTGTGTGACATTGGGCTGATTTCTTAATGTCAGTTTCCTCATCTATAAAACATGATAAAAGAGTATCTACCTTGCAGAATTGTCATAAGTATGAAATTAACTTATTAACTATGTAACACAGTGGCCTGTTAAAAATTACTCAATAAATATGCACGATTAAAAGTAAAAATGCAGCACAGCTACCTTTTTGGACTCAGAGCATGAAAAAAGGGAATTATCATTATCCCCAAATAGAAATTACTTTAAAATATTGAATATTGTACAAAATTGCAAAAGCTGGTTTTCTAATATGTTACTTCTTAGAGCCCTTAGAGCTCTTGGTGGGTGTGTGGGCTTCTGTAAAGTACGATTAAATCACCAGGAGGGAGCATTGTCCAAAAATACCACTGAATTAAAAGCTAAAAAGTAATGCAGTATACACGTTTGGGATGCTGTATAAATTAAGTGACCTTGTGCTTCTCTGAGCCTATTGTCCACTGCCCCAGCCACACATGTCTGGCAAAAGTATGTATAAAGGCTTGCTAAAAGAAGTTTGAAAAATTGCTTGGGGTCTTGGAAAGAGGCAGCCAATGATTTTAACCAATCAGTTGACAATTGGTGCTTTTTAGAATAATTGAGTAGGAGAGTGGCAAGGTACTTATTCTGATAGGCTTTATAAGTGCTGTGAAAAGTCTGATTTCCAAACCAAACTCAAGTCACTCATTTAAATAGGTAGTGTTTCCTGAGGGAAGTCTACCTGAATTGCAATCCTTCACCAAAGGCTAATCAGCTCTGGTGACATCCCTGCTATCTTATCTAGCAAATATCTCAAAAATAATGCCTGGTTGAGACATGCTAAGTGGAACTGGCATGGTGCAGCAACCCAGCTATAGAGTAAATTGCAGATTCAAGGTCCTATGAAAGTTTAGTAACAATTACTCAATTTAGCATTTTCTTTATCTCCGTACTTGAATACTGGTCCTTCATTTGATAAATAGCGTTGGACTTTAAGTTTTTGTCCCAGAAGACAACCCATCAGAAATTCCTTCCATCCATCCCAGACGTCCAAACGAAGTGTCGTGCCTGTGGATCAAGAGAGGCAGTTAATGGTTCCAGTCCCTCACTGTGATGTGGAAATCCATAAAACTTCTAAGGATTGCTTTTTCTAAGCAGAGGCATAAGCTAGATGTGAATTGAAAAGTAACCTTGGAATAAGTACACGGGGATGCTATTTTCAGGCCTGCATTGACTTGAAAAGCCATTTGGCTTCTGTGCACTTCCATTTTCTCATCTGCTCGGTGATTGCAGATAATGCTGAAATATTTTTTGCAGTTATCCTAAAACAGTCTTGTGGACATTGATTCCATGCTGATAGATACATCACCTTGTAAACTAAAACCCTTGTGTTGGAAGACGGAACTAAAGAAACTGTGACACGATTAATAGGCTTTTTGGGCCTTTAGCTCACAAGCAGACTGTGGGTGGAATTGAATTATCCTTTCATTTTACCCTTTGCCAAATAGCCATTCTCCTGACTCTGGGAAACAAACTAGGGGTGGTAGAAAGGGAGGTGGGCGGGGGGTGGGGGTGACTGGATGACGGGCACTGAGGGGGGCACTTGATGGGATGAGCACTGGGTGTTATTCTATATGTTGGCAAATTGAACACCAAAAAAAATATAAATGTATAACAAGAAAAATAGCCATTCTAAGTAATGACATGAAAGTAGTATGTTTATTGCCGCTGGAGAATTTATCACTTGCTCCTCAAAAGTCTACCCTCTCCTGGCCTGCCCTCTGTGGCACCACATTCCCTTTGTCCTTCAGGGTGGTGTTTTTCAGGAATCTTATTTCCTCAGGCTTCTCTTCTTTCTTTACACATTCCCTTGGGTGTGTAAAGAACTTACCTGTTCCAGCCACTCTGACCTTTCACCTGTTCTTCAGATACACCAAGTCCACTCCCATCTCAAAACCTGAAGACATCATTTCTTTTACTTCCAAGGGTCTTCATCCAGATTTTCACAAGAGAGTGTCCTTCTTATTCAGTTTTCAATTCAAGCATCATGTCCTCAAAGAGGATCCTCTCTGCCACTCTGCCTCCCCCCACTCCACTATTCTTTATGCTTTGAGCTTACATTAACTGCATCATAGCTCCTATCATCAGTACTTGAAATCATTCTTCTTATTTGGAAATTTTTTTGTTTCATTTCACCATTAAGGAGAAAGCTCCTTCAAGATTTGCTGCACACTTGGTAAGTCCTCATTAAATACTTATTGGCTGACTAACAGGCAATCTCAGTGACCCTGTTGGCTTCACTGACCACACATGTGACGTTCATTCCCAAGTCCAAACCTCCACACCAGGCCTCTGTTCCAGCTCCAGATTCCCCCTGCTGGGAACATCACCATCTAAGGAATTGCACTATAACCCCATTGTTCTGAAAGACAATTCATCATCTTTCATCTGTGTCTGTAGCACCACTATTTCCTTGTTACCTCAGCTAGACAGTTAGGAGCTATACCTCATTCTTCCCCTTCTCATGCTTTTCATCTGCACAATAGGTAAGACCTGTAAAGTTTATCTTGTGAAGGTTTGAAGACCATTTCCTTGCCTCCATCTTACCAGCTCCACCCTGTTTCAGGCCTACGTGATTTTTCACCTAAATCTACTTCTGGAAGCTCCCACCAGCCTCCCCATCTCTTTATTCAGGTCTCTGCTCAAATGTATCTCCTCCTCTGGCTAACCATCTAAAATTGCCTCCCCTCCACATTATCACGTGACTCTCTATTCCTGTATTCTGTTTTCTTTTTACTTGAGAGTTCTTAATTCTTTTTTAAAAAATATTGTTTATTTTAGAGAGAGAGCTGGGGAGGACCAGAGGGAGGTAGACAAGCAAACTCCATAGTGAGCACAGAGCCTGATGTGGGGCTTGATCCTAAGACCCTGAGATCATGACCTGAGCCAAAATCAAAAGTTGGATGATTGAGCCACCCAGAAGCCCCTAGAGTTCTTATTTCTTCTTAAAATTCACTATTTTCCTGTTTACTTAATGATGCTTACATTTCCTACTGAACTGCAAGCTTCAAGAGGGGAGGAAATTTTGCTATTCTTGCTCACAGCATTATGCCAGCTTTCCTCAATGGTGCCTGGCTCATGGTGGATAATCAGTAAATATTTGTTAAATGAAATTTTACCCTATTCCTCAAATCCATTTTGGCCATGTACTGCCCTCCTAACCCTTAGCAGCCCTGCAGGCTGTCCTGCACTTCTGTGTCCCCACCAGGCTGTTTCTGGCCCTGGGGCTTCTTCTTTTGCTGTTCTTTTGGTGTCTGAATTCTTGTGACTTTTTCCCCACTCCCTCCTACCAGTAGTTTATGATGCAATCTAGGCATCACTTCCTCCAGGAAGGGTGTCTTAAGCCCATCACTTCACGGCTCAAGAAGTTAAGCCCTTCTTAACTATGTCATTGTCTCTGCAACTAGATAAAAAGATCACTCAACTGGCTACCATAATGTATGTGAAACACTTTATCATTGAAAATACATTTCTGCTTTGGAATTGCCAGTTTGTAAAAACTAAGAGAACTCTCTGAGCCCAAGCATCATGTCTCATCTAGTCTGTGGGTTTTGTTCTAGTTATGCTTTTGGTTTTCAAGGAGGCCCTCGAGAAAATGGGGCTTATTATACTTATTATACTGAGACAATGGCCAGATCTACTGTACTTTAGGAACAAAGGCACCTCTCAAGATGGGCCACTCCCCATCTCTCCCATGGGCTCCAGGATCTTTCTCTCTCAAGCCCTCTATATCTCCTGGTGTCTTCTCCCTTTCTCTGTTGACAGGCTGCCCTGCTGCTTCCTTACAGTTTCTGTCCTACGCAACTGAGATATGCCTGCAGCATTGCTTTGCCACAACCCAGCCTTACTTCATGGCACCATGCATTTTCTGCCCATACTGGTACCCAGTTTTGTCCCTCTATGTGTTTCCCAAAATGAATTCACAGGACTAATACTAATTAATAATGGTATATTGAATATGAATAGCTAATATTCATCGAATGCTTACTATATGCTCTACATTATTCTAAGTACTTTACATGAATGAGCTAATTTAAAATCTATAACAATCCTAAGTGTGGTGTGTATTATTTTTCTTCATTGTTGAGGAAATCGAGGCACTATGAGATTAAGTAACTTGCCTGGGTTTTACGTACCCAGTATGTAGCGGAATCAAGAGTTGTACCTAAGCAATCTGGCTCCTGAGCTTGCATTCCTGTCCTCTATGTTATCTTTGTCTCCAAAGAAGAATTTTTAAAAAAATTTTATTTATTTATTCATGAGAAACACACACAGAGAGAGGGAGAGACCTAGGCAGAGGAAGAAGCAGGCTTCCCACAGGGAGCCTGATATGGGACTCAATCTTGGAACTCCCAGACCACGGCCTTTGGCTCAACTGCTGAGTCACCCAGGCATCCCTCCAAGCAAGAATTTAATTGGATGATGTGATTGGACAATCTGTATAGATTGACCGGCTGCCTTTGAATCAATATGATGGTGTTGGCAGTCAGAGCTGGGGGTATATGCATGACTTGGCTTATCCGTACATATCCTCAGGTTCAGACATGTAGTAGGTTCCTAATAAATACTTGCAGATATTTATCATCCTTGACACCATAGATTTAGCTTCTGTAGTCTAAAGCTTCTTACTGTACTTTATTTTCTTATTTAAAGGTTTGATTCCTATGGGTAGTACTGGAAACAAGGGACTTATTTTTTATTTTTAAAAAATTTTTTAAAGATTTTATTTATTTATTCATGAGAGACAGAGAGAAGCAGGCAGAGACATAGGCAGAGGGAGAAGCAGGCTCCATGTAGGGAGCCTGATGTGGGACTTGATCCCGGGACCCTGGGATCACACCCCAAGCCGAAGGCAGATGCCCAACCGCTGAGCCACCTAGGCATCGCAACAAGGGACTTTAAACACTGCTCAAATTGCATTTACTTCTTCTCCTGACTTAAGTGATTTGCTGTGTTTGTAGTTTACTTTAAAAATTACCCACAGATGAGCATTGAGAAGCTTGGTTAGCATTGTACCCCAGCCTCCTTAGTCCTCCACAGCTGAGGCCACACAGACTCCATTTTGAAGAACCAGCCAAGTTCTAGGCCCAGAGAATAATCTTCATTCTGGTAAGAGAGAATATGTTAAGATTCCAGGCCAGCAGCTCAGGTAGGAAGTTGTTGCTCCTGTTTATCCTGCTTGGATATTGTCCCAGTTCTAGTAACTTGCCCCATTCCTCCTGCCCAAGCCTTCACCTTGTGCTCCAGAACATGAGTGCCTGTATCCTACTCTACCTTTTGGGTTTTAGAACTGAGGTCCGTCTGTTCTCTGTTCTATCTCATCCTACTCTGAACCCCAGTCTCTGGGGTTAGATTTCTGTTCCATGTTGTCAGAATCTCTGATGTCAACAACCAGATTGTCTAGTTTTTCACCTCTTATGTCATTCATTTATCTATTTATTTGCTACCTTGATGTTATGCTATGATTCACTCACCAGGTCCCTGCTGGATCTCCCTGAGGTCAACCTCTGCCTTCCTGCATCTAGTTGAAGACTGCTCTGCTTGCCTATCCCAGGGCTCCCACGAGCGGGACTTACTTGAGACTAACTTCCCTCTTTCCTGCCTCATCTGCCCTTTCCTAAGTGGTTGTCTAGCCTCAGGATCTCAGCTCTTTCTAGCCCAACCTGTCCACCATGGGTAAACCCTAATTCTGAAAACTACAGAGAGGCCTATATGATTTAAATCTTCATCAGCAGTAGGGGACGTCCATCAAGCCCTGTATTCTGCTTTAATTCCCTATCTGGGAGCAATCGTAACAGATGTTATAACTATCAATTTCAGTTCCTTGCAAAAAAGCAGTCCTAATTTCTCAAAGAACAAAGATAACAATGGCTGATTTTTCTCTTAATGCTCAACTTTTGAATATCCAGAGAACTTCTAAGCAAGTTAACCAACACCATTTATTGAATAATCCTTCCATCCCAATTGGTTTGTAATGCCTCTTTTGACATGTGTTAAATTTCTTTGTAAGCTTGGGAATTCTGCTGGAAAATAGAAAGTTACTTGAAAAAATGTTATGTTGCTCCAGAAGATACAACTAACTTCTATAACTGAAATGAAAGTAAAACTAATGAGACTTAAGCTTTAGGGCCTCTTTCTACATGAGTTTTTGAATTCTCTACTCTTAATTTTGTATTCTTTAAAAGAAGACCCTCAAGATTGTATATATTTACAAGACCTGGATCTGCTCACTCTCTACTTACAAACCCACCATTGTGCCAAGCCATGCAGGAAAGCAAGTATGAGCAGCAGCACCCATTGTAGGGAATTGTCTCCAACCTCTCCCCATATGATCCCTGTATCCCCAGTTTCTGGATTCCTCATCCATACTTTGAGATCAATATCTGCCTATCTGATTTGAGATTTTTTTCTTCTTGAATATGGAAATAATTTCTCTGATGTGGGTTGCCCCTAATGGGAAACAAAACAAAACATTGATCAGAACTTAAAGAGCACCAATAAAAATAGAGATCAATAAAAGCATTCTGGGTTGGCAGTATAAATTGTTGGAAAGAACGCAATCCTGAGTGTGTGATTACCATTTCTTGACAGTATGACCTTGAACAGGTCAGTTAACTTCTTTGAGCCTCCGTTTTCTCATTTGTAAAAGGAATTAAAATAGCATGGTGGATCTCCAAGGCTGAGAGAGGGGCTTTGGAGCCAGCTGAGATTTCGGGGTCTGAACTGACAGGACTCGGCTCCTGGAACAGTTTCTCAGATGTGATTGCTCAGTCTGGCCATGAATACATGCCATGAGACATTTACCATTGGCATATGCCAATGGCAGCATTCTGTAAAGGAAAGGCATTCATTCATTCATTCGTCAGGCACACCTCATTCCAGAGGGGACTCATACCAGTGTATAAGCATATAGAAAACAGAGTAACTAACAGACAAGCATGTAGATAAGCAAGAGGAAAGCAAAAGTCAGGATAGATATTGAAGAACCAGAAATGGGGCAGCCCGGGTGGCTCAGTGGTTCAGTGCCGCCTTCAGCCCAGGGCGAGATCCTGGAGTCCTGGGATCAAGTCCCGCACTGGGCTTCCCGCATGGAGCCTGCTTCTCCCTCTGCCTGTGTCTCTGCCTCTCTGTGTATCTCTCATGAATAAATAAATAAAATCTTGAATAAAAATTTAAAAAAAGGAACTAGAAATGAAGCTAAAATAACATTTGTCCCATGTATGTTGATACAAGAAAAGGTGTGTGTGTGTGTGTGTATGTGTGTTGGACCTATATGATGTGTCACCAGGCCTCAAGTCATAAAATCACATCTATTAGGGAATGTTTAGTCTTGATAAGTTCTTTTTTTATTTTTTTAAGATTTTATTTTATTTATTTGACAGAACGAGCACAGCAGAGGGAGCTGCAGTGGGAGAGGGAGAAGCAGACTCCCTACGGACCGGGGAGTCTGACGTGGGCTCGATCCCGGGACTCCGGGATCATGACCTGTGCCGAAAGCAGATGCTTAACCATTGAGCCACCCGGGCACCCCACTTTAATAAATTCTTGATAAGTTAATCACTAAATTTTCTGCCACCAAAAAAATCCCTTTATCCTCTTATTACTTATCTTCTTAATCCCTGCAATCTTTCTGTCTCCATCCACTTTATTAAAACTGCTTTATCTGGGTACACCAATGACCTTTAAGCCAAATCAAAAGGTTTTTTCTCAGATCGTCTTTGGCCTCTTACCAGCATCCTAAATACAGTCTCTCCTTTGTCACCTGTGACAATGTAAAGCCCCACTTTTCCTCCCACCTCTGACAGCTCTGCATGTCTCATTTTCTGACTCCCGTTCTATTTGCCCTAGTATCAGCATGTTCTGACTACGGGCCCTCCACCCTTGACATGTTCCTCTCTGTATATACTCTCTAAGGAAAATATCTCTCATAGGGCTCAGTCCCTGACTCCGTGGCGGGATGCCTACAGCAATATCTGCTAACCGAACCCATCACTCAGCCCTGCTCCATGTTTGTTGCAGAGGAGAATCAGAAGACCTCAGTTGTCCTTACAGCTTTGCCACCAATTAGCAGAGTAATTTTCAGGGGGAAAAACCATATTCTCTGCATTTCTTTATGTCTAAAGTTTAGGACCCAAAGCATGAGCTCCTTTTCCCAATTTCACTACCGCCGTGCTAGTGTCAGACCCTTGATGCTACCCTTTTCTTAAATGTGATTCAGCTTGACATCCTGTCTCAATTTTCTGGGTTTCTCAGATTTGTGTCTCTCTTCCATTGCTAGTGGAATTATTTAATACTGGGATTCTCAAAAGTGCCTGTTGGCAGGCATATCACCTTGCTTCTCTCTTCACTCCTTTCTGTATTTTCATGCTGCTTGCGACCAGATTAAACTTCTGATAAAACGCTTCTGTACCAGAATGTACCTGGCTCTGGTTGCAAGCATATTAAGCCTGTGCTTCGTTGCCTCACCCCTTCTTAGTCTGACCCCAGCTGTGTTTCTGACTGGTCTCAGCAAAGCTCCTCTACTTTTCAGAAGTCTTCTGATATTTGTCTTCCCTGGATTCAGCCCATGTTCATGAACCTGTGGCTTGTGTTTTTCTCCTGACTTAGAAGCCTGGAATGTTTTCCCATTAAGATGACCCATATTTCCCACATCTCTGTGTGCTTACGCCCAACATTCTCCAGAATGCCTTCCTTAAGCCCTTCAGCCTTCACTGAACTGACTTACTGGATTGTAACTAAATATACGTGCACTTTATTATAAACACTCAGAGTGCAGAGGCAGGTCTGTGTATTTTTCTATGAGCTAATATGTCCAGTGACTAATTGAGCTTCAAAAGTCCTTGATTTTTAATATGAACTTGACTGCTTCTCAGAGACCATCTGATTTTCCACACCTTTGGAAAGGGGTCAAAGTTCAACTCCTGCTAGCATCAGGGAAGACTCATTGACTGGAAGTAGGAGAACCTGGAAGACAGGCTGATCAAGGACTTCTTTACCCTCTAGTTAAAAAAACATGAGCTGGGATCCCTGGGTGGCGCAGCAGTTTGGCGCCTGCCTTTGGCCCAGGTCGTGATCCTGGAGACCCAGGATCGAATCCCATGTCGGGCTCCTGGTGCATGGAGCCTGCTTCTCCCTCTGCCTGTGTCTCTGCCCCTCTCTCTCTGTGACTATCATAAATAAATAAAAATTAAAACAACAAAAAAAAAAAAACATGAGCTGCCTGCTTGAGGAATGCTAGGGATGCTTAGGCAAAGACATAAAGCTAACCAAGGACTTTTCCTCTCTTTTCTTTGAGGCTCTTCTTTCCTTGCCTCTCCTGCATTCTCATGGTGACCAAAACAGTCTACACTGGTCATGCTGAGCCCTTAACATGACATTTGAAAACCCTCATTCCTAGAGGGTCATTTTAGGAGGCCTGTGGGTTGTCCTTCACACATCCTGAGTAAATCATTTAACCATCTGGAACCATTTTGCTTTCTTTAAATCTGTAAAAATTTGGGGTTGGGCCAAGCCATTTCTAAATTCTCTTCTAGCTCTAGCTCTAAACTGTCACATCATGATCTGAGCAGCATAGGCCTAACGAGCAGTCACCCTAATTTTTCATGTATCCTTTTGTGTTTCATTAAATAACTAGAAATTGCTTGGGGACAAATGCTTCCTGTGTGTCCTTACTTAAGCTTCCACCTTCTGAGCAGGGCTGATCCCCAGCAAGCATGCAAAGTAGCATGTGCTTTCTGTGAAGTACTTGGAACAAATCCTAGAACATCACTTCCTTTGATCAAAAACAGGGAGGATAAATGATATCAAATTAAAAATAACATGAAAGAATAGGCAAATATAATAGGAGAGGTAACAATAAATGTGAATTTAGCCATTGTAAGAAGCAAAACTGCTTAATTCAATGATGTTTACAAAGCCCTACTATAAATTGGGAGAACTCAGATTTCATTGCAGCAAGTGTGACAGCCCAACATTACCTAAAGGTCTGCTAATTGTCAGCAAATATTCATTCACCTCAAGCAAGAATCTCTACAAGGTTTGAACCATTTTCCAATAGGGTTATAACAATCTGACAGTCCTTTGAGTTTGTCTTAATGGTGCATGGCTACAGCAGACACAACCTAGAAGTACAATATTTAACTAAGAGTTGTAATCTGTCCATCAGGGATGAATGCCAGCTCACTAATCTAGCCATCAAGGATACTGTACAGTATCTGGTTCACACTGTTTAAAATATTAATATAACCAACAATATTTTAAAATGGGATTGCATAAAGCAAGCTCAGGACAGTGTGTATTATATGTTACCACTGTGTTAAAGGAAGAGAAAGGATATATACCTGAACTTGCTTCTATATATTCTTGAAATATAATTTGAAAGAGAAAAATATAAACTGGTCTGAGTCTTACTCTTCCAACTTGAGGATATTAAGTTATCTGGCTTTGAATAAAGAGAACAAGACATGGCAAGGCTATGAGACTTTTCTTATTTTTCAATCTGCAGACCAGGATACCAGAGAGGGTTGTTGATAACTTATATCCTCACTAGGGTTGCAGGATTTTTGGTTTGGAAATAACTCCTCCATTTGTTGCAAATCTGGTATCAAGGAACACTAGTGCTGAGCAGTAGCTGGTGTCAAATATAGAGGGCAGTACCGATGTCTATCTGGTAGTTCCTGAGGGTGTTGCAGTCATACATCTCCAGTCCCTTTGGGGTCCGAAGACAGAAGACACTCACAGGGAAGCCACAGCTCAGAGCTACCAATGTTCTCAGATCTGATACTTTTTTACCAAGAAGGGAAATGTTCTCCATCATTGGCATTGTCTCTTGTGTCACAGCATTAAACACATAGAGAGTTGGCTTGTCTTCTTCCTACAGGGAAAGAAAAGGAGGAACCTCAGGAGTAAGCAGTGTCTGGGGGTAGGAACGAGGGAAAAACATTTTGGAGGGTGGCTCTGAGTGCCTCTAACTCACATGACCGGGGTGCTAAGGATGAAAGCAAAGGCCAAATAAGTTCCCTGACTTCTGGTCTGACTCCTGTTCTTCTGTCTTGAGACTATTAAGGAGTCCTCCTGCCTTGAGTAAAATGAAGGAGACTTGGCAACTAACACCTCCATAAGCACAGCTTGGATATAATATTCAAGACTCCTTTTGTGTACCTGAGTCTGTACATTAAGAAGAGTTGCAGAGCTTTGCCAAAACTGAGATGTCAGCATCAGGCCTCTGGGTTTCTCTAGGGGGCTCCAGCCAGTCATTGCTCTCCAGTTCAGCCCTATTCTCCTCCCCTTTTCTCCTGTCAAAATTTGCCTCCAGATTCCCCAGGAGCCACCTCCCTTGCTTAGGCCTATAATACATTAATTTCATTCCCCTCTTCCCAGATCATATATTGCCATGATATAATCAACACACAGATCTCTTAGAGCCTTTAAAAAGTGATGAATGTTACTGATGTATGTTTAGGCTGTGATGCTTTGATCTGGGGCCCATTTCAGTAACTCAAATCACCAAAAGCAGGTTCGGCCCTCTGCTTCCTGAGTCTAAAGTACTTAGAACGGTTGTTCTCAACAGCTTCTCATAAACCCTCTCAATAAAAATTGAAAGGACATAGGATTCACCTTTGCCCTTGCAACATACTTATGCTTTCTTATGGCTTCATTAAAGTCCATCCTAATCTATGTGATATTTATAGGCAGGAAGAAATTTTTATGAAAACTGAATAAAGGAGCACCTGGGTGGCTCAGTGGTTGAGCATCTGCCTTTAGCTCAGGTCATAATCCTGGGGTCCTGAGATCGAATCCTGCATCCCAGAGGGAGCCTGCTTCTCTCTTTGCCTATGTCTCTGCCTCTCTTTCTGTGTCTCTCATGAATAAATAAATAATTTTTTTTAAAAAAAGAAAACAATAAAAAGGAGGTAAGAGAGACAAATTAAATTTTAGGCAATAGTTTTTCCTTATTTCTTTCATGGTTACTCTTATTTCTTGTTAGGGCTAACAAGATACTAATCTGGTACAGATACTAATTTATACTTAAAATCAAATATGTAATGTGCAACCGAGTAACAAAGGCCCAAGTCACTCTTAATAGCAAACTAGCAACTACATGATGATAGAGAGGTAAGTTAAAAAGGAGCTTCTCAGAATATTAATAAACATGAATATCTATAACCTAGGTATACAAAAAGTTCTGAAACGAGATAAAGGAAAATTGCAAAATATATGGCAATGTTTAGATGAAAATCAAAAAGTGCAGGTAAGAAAATACATTTGTTATTAATGAAGCTAGGTTCTTAAGTTGCAAGAAAATTAGCACCTACAGAGTTTATTCTTTTTTTTTTTTAGCTCCCAAGAACTTCCCACATCCATTTAATTCATTATGTATCTTGAACATAGTCCTCTTTCTACTATTTTGACACTATTTATCCAGAGCAGAGAATAGCTGAATGCATGGCCTCCTATAGCACTAACACTGGAGCATCCTGCCATGCTTAATATGTCTTTTTACCAGTGAGATTTTGATGGACTGTATCAATTTAGAAGTACCAGTTAGAAATAATAACAAAGTTAATGAGTCTGTTTTGTAGAACACCATAAAAAGAAGGCACTTCTATGAGTCTATCCTCTAGAACATTATGGCAAGAATGCATTTCTGACCCTTATGTGAACCCAAACAGCTCATGTAAAAAAAAAAAAAAACAACAAAAAACACACACAACTATGAAAAACCATTTCATAAACCTTCTTTTTGTGAGAAAACTCATTTGAAGTTCTACTGAGGCATATGAGCTGGAGACCCTTCTTCATGTGGTTATTTGGAGAGGGACCAGGTGGATGGAGATAACAGCAACTTGTCAACTCACATTATCTATGTAAGCAAAGGCATCTCTCTTGATATCCCTCCTCAAATATTCTAAATAAGGGAATATTTAGAGTGTAGTTATACTCAAGGAAGTTGGATGTTATTATATAAACAATACTATCACAAATCATTGTTGAACATATGTAAAATTAGATTTTCCCCTTTACAAATAAACCAAGATACCATGGTAGGAGGTACATACAAAACGTCTTACTTTAAAAATTTTTTTTTATTTATTCAATCATGAGAGAGACAGAGAGAGAGAGAGAGAGAGAGAGAGAGAGAGAGAGGCAGAGGGAAAAGCAGGCTCCATGCAGGGAGCCCAACCTGGGACTCGATCCTAGGATTCCAGGATCACGCCCTGGGCCGAAGGCGGCGCTAAACCACTGAGCCACCCAGGCTGCCCTGTCTTACACTTCAATAAAAACAAATACATAGACCTATTTCATGGTAAGAATTCCACTTTTGTTTTAATAAACCACATCCAAACTCACTGTAAAAGATACATGTGCATTTACAATAAAATAGGAAACCTAAAGAGAAACAGATGGAAAGAAAACAGGAGTTAATGAAAATTTTGAACACTGCTATACAGTTTTCGTAAGTTCTGCTTTTTTATATTTTGCTGTCCTGGAGTTGAAGCACTAAGTAAGTAGAAACTTGCCCCAATTATTCCAGAGTAGATGAAATGAGGAAATAATGTTTGTTTTTGTTGCACTGAATGAATTCAAATTGAGATATCTTCATGAACACCTTGACCTCATAAATTTCTTTTGTATGAAAGTCATCCTGGAGAGGTTATACTTGGATTCTAGGACATTAAATTCAGACACTTTCTAAAACTTTTTTTTTTAATTTTTATTTATTTATGATAGTCACACACACAGAGAGAGAGAGAGAGATACGCAGAGACATAGGCAGAGGGAGAAGCAGGCTCCATGCACCGGGAGCCCGACGTGGGATTCGATCCCGGGTCTCCAGGATCGCGCCCTGGGCCAAAGGCAGGCGCCAAACCGCTGCGCCACCCAGGGATCCCTTCAGACACTTTCTTTACATACTATTTCTATGGCTCATCTTAGAAAAGATAGCCATTTTTTAAGAAACATGTTTTTATTTGTAAATTATTTTTTTTTTTTTAGGTTTTTTGTTTTGTTTTGTTTTTTAATATGAGTAATCTACACCCTGCATAGGGCTTGAACTCATGACTCCAAGATCAAGAGTCACATGCTCCTCCAACTAAGCCAGCTAGGCATCCCTCATTTGTAAATTATACATTTTTCTTCTTTCTTTTCTTTTTTTGAAAGAGAGCCCACATGAGTGGTGGCAGGAGGGGCAGTGGAACAGGGAGAGAATCCCAAGCAGGCTCCATGCCCAGCACAGAGCCTGATACAGGGCTTGATCTCATGGTCCTGAGATCATGACCTGAGCTGAAATCAAGAGTCAGATGCCCCACTGCCTGAGCCACCCAGGTACCCCTAAATTATACATTTTTTTTTTAAAAAAAGATTTTATTTATTTATTCATGAGATACACAGAGAGAGAGAGGCAGAGACACAGGCAGAGGGAGAAGGGGCTTCCCATGGGGAGCCCAATACAGGACTTCATCCCAGGACCCTGGGATCACACCTTAAGCCAAAGGCAGATGCTCAACCACTGGGCCATCTAGGTATCCCTAAATTTTAGATTTTTAGGAAGCATATTTATACTTTTTTTTATGTGTGTGTATAAAATATATTTAAAATATAAAGTCACATATTATGTGTCTACTGGACTTTGGTGTTTATGCATTACTGGTGCCTTTCAAAAGCTAAAGGTATATTATTATTATTATTATTATTATTATTGTTATTATTATTTTTAAATTCATGATAGACATAGAGAGAGGCAGAGACACAGGCAGAGGGAGAAGCAGGCTCCATACCGGGAGCCCAACACGGGACTCGATCCCGGGACTCCAGGATCATGCCCTGGGCCAAAGGCAAGCGCTAAACTGCTGAGCCACCCAGGGATCTCCTAAAGGTATATTATTCTGAGTCAATTATAGACCTTCTAATATCATTTAAGCGTTTCCAACTTGTCTAATAGACATCTACTCAATACTACCACAATTAACCCAATCTTTCACCATAAAAGAACATTCCAAAGATGCCAGAAAGGATTAACTAAGTTTAACCTCAGATAGTGAGAGAAGGAGGAGGCAAGGAACTCAGGAATGTTAGAGAGACTGAGCCCACCTCACAATTTATTTTGTTTTGTTTTATTATTATTATTATTTTTTTTAAGAGAGAGAGATGAGAGAGAGGTGGCAGAGGGAAAGGGAGAGAGAGAATCCCAAGCAGATTCCATGCCTAGCGCAGGGCCCCATACAGGGTTTGATCTCATGACCCTGAAATCATGACCTGAGCTGAAATTAAGAATCAGACACTTAAAAGCGACTGAACCATCCAGGCACACCCCACCTCACACTTTAAAGGCACGACCTGTGAGATTTACTTGTTAGCCCCCTTTGCAGCAGGGCCTGGACATGTGACCAGAGTGCTCCCAATCAGGCCTACCCATCCAGCCCTAGTTTGATTAGGAGCCAGTAAGGCAGAGAGGCAGCAGACACAGGGCATCCTCCCTGGCAGTGGCAGATCTGAAGCATTGCTGGTCTGGCAGCAGGGCTGGTGGCCGTACCTGGTGCCCGCTTTGAGGGCTCAGAGGTGGCTGCAGTGGTGGCATTCCTGGACTAGTTCTGGGGCATGATTAAGACATTGTTTCTAGCTACATACTCTCTGAACCTAGTCCTCTAGTTTCCTCTCAAGTCTGTGAACTACCTAGTAGCCTTTCAATATGTTTATTTTCTGTTTTAATTATCCAGGGTTCATTTCTGCTGCTTGCACTTAAGAACCCTGATGCTGGATAGGAAAAAGCGCAAGGATGCAGGAGCACCTTGCCTTGGGGTAGAGAGGGAGGAGAGATGGCATGGTAAGGGAGGGAATCCAAACCCTGAAATGAATCTCAATACCTTGCTATGATGTTTCTGATAACAATTATATACCTTCTTAAAAAAAAAAGATTTTATTTATTTATTTGACAGAGAGAGAGAGAGAGAGCGCACAAGCAGGCGGAGCAGGAGAGGGAGAAGCAGGCTCTCTGCTGAGCAGGGAGCCTGCCATTGGGCTTGATTCCAGGACCCTGGGATCATGACCTGAGCTGAAGACAGATGCTTAACCAATTAAGCCACTCAGTTGCCCAATCATATATCTTGTTAATTTTCAAACTTTACCACCCAAGCCTTTGCAACTTATTTATTTATCACATATTTATGGAAAGCCTCCTATATGGCAGTTAATATTTAGGCACTGGGTGCCAACAGTGGGCAAAGCTCAAGAGATGGTTTCTGCAATAACACTGGTTAGAATGAAGGAGGCAAATGTGATAGCACTACTGCATGCCCAGCAATAAGCCAGGCCTTTCCATTGCATCATGCCATGGCTTATAGGAACACAGTGACCTGTAGCTCAGCAGCAATGAATGGGCAGGATTGATTCCTATGTTAATAGAACTTGGATATATATCCTATAGAAGATATGTCTTATGGTTTCTTTTTTTCCCTAAGTTTCTATAGGAACTATCCCCCTAAGAAGGAAAAATTAATGCAATATTCCTTCCCCACTCATCTCATATTGCCCCTGCCTCCATTCACTTTTCCAAATGTGCCTACATTACCATTAAAAGGCTAAAGGTTTAATTACCTATTAAACCTAGGCAGGGGAACTGGAGAATATATTGACTATTTAAAAAATGTATTTAGGTGCAGATCACCTCTTAATTTATCTAAAATCTTTCCCTCTTTTCACACAAGGAACAATTTGTAATTCATACAAAATATAAACACAGTAAAGAAATAAAATATTTTTTATTTATTTCATATATAATGTATACTTGTATTTTTTAAAAAGATTTTATTTATTTGTTTGAGAGAGAGCACATGACAGGGGGCAAGGGCAGGGAGAGAGAGAGAGAATGAGAGAGAGAATGAGAGAGAGAGAGAGGCAGACTCCACTGGGAGCAGGGAACCCTATGCAGGGCTCAGTCCCAGGACCCTAGGATCATGACCTGAGCCGAAGATAGACACTTAACTGACTGAGCCACCCAGGCACCCCTCCACTTGTATTATTATTTTTTTTTTAAAGAAAATTGCTTACTTGGTGAATTTTTAAACTTTGCAAAAGCATTTGGTTTACATCTTGATATGTCTAAGTTGTTCCAAAATAAATGAAGAGACTAGCTTTCCAAAATTCTCAGAAGGTAGACCTAATAGCATTAAGTAGCATAGTTAAATAGGAAGGATACTAGTTAAAGTTGTATATGTCTAATTATGCAATAAAGCAACATGACTTAGAATGCAGCCTTTTGTTACCTAAAATAGATTAGACAGCTTAGAACTGGTCTGACTGCATTCTCTGAGGCATGGGATATTTTCATGAAGTATTTTTGTTGTTGGAAGCTCATTTGGGGCTATTATTATCCATACACTGCTAGTAGTATGACTTTTGAAATAGGTCTCTTTTATCATTTAATCTAAACAGGAATTAAGTCAGGATGAAAACTAATATTTATGGTCTTTGCAGGATACTGTTTTAGACCTTCAGATTTAAGATACTGTTTTTCTTCTCAGAACCAGTCATATGAAATTCTCTAAATGTGATTCTACTGGAGAAGGTGAAGATTAGTATCAGTAAGATTTCCATGGAACTTGGGAGTTTTTATTTAAACCCTATGCATTGGCCAATCCTGTGATGCATAATTATATTCTGTCTCTCTTTGGTAAACTCATTTTGCCTCTATACTCTATTTTTTCCATTAGCAGTTTAAACTCCAGGGAAAGATCAGAGTTCAGTGCAAAGATAGCTTGCACCACTGTGATGGATGATGCTTTATTGGCAGAATTTATGAAATATTTTTGTTAGTAAAACTATGAAATAGGTTGCGTCTGGGGAGGGAACCTGGGGGCCAGAGGTGGGAGGAAGACTTTTTATTGTATATACTTTTTATATCTTTTGTCTCCATGTGAATGTACTTCCTAGTCAGAAATAAATAAAAGTTAGATTTTTTTTAAATAAGGAAAATAAAGCCAGGGCTGAGTTAAATAATAGTATCCTATTCATACTATTACACACATTATTTACATCCCTGAATAGCTGTCATTCAATCAGATTCCTCCAGCAACTCATATATTAGTAATAAACTTATACCACTATCTCCAAGTAAGCAAACAAGAAAGTCTCAAACATCATTATTGGCTGGAAAATTCCAAGATGTTTTAAATGGTTTAGCCCATAAAGTACCAAAAACAGAGTTTATAAATATATTTAAAGACATAAGAAAGACATTTAAGAAATGAAATGGAAAAAAAAAAAAAGAAAACAAATGATATGGAATTCAGTCTGCCTGAAAGAGTATTATAATTTTTTTAGTGTCAGAGGAGAAAAGAAGAAATCAGAGTTGTTTTTTATTTATCTTTTTGATAATTAAACATTCTTCAAGAATATAACAATAAGACATGAATAAATGCTCACAAAACATTAAAAACACATACAAATATATTATTTTTTCTTACTTAAATAGGATCCTGCAATGCCAATTTTTGGGGAGTCCTGTTTTTTACTAGTTAGTGATAAATATTTTAGATTTTTTTAAAAACATTGACTTTGGAACGCCTGGGTGGCTCAGTGGTTGAGCGTTTGCCTTCAGCCCAGGGTGTGATCCTGGAGTCCTAGTATTATTGAGTCCTGCATCCGGCTCCCTGCATGAAGCCTGCTTCTCTCTGTGCCTATGTCTCTGCCTCTCTCTCTCTCTCTCTCTGTCTCTCATGAATAAATAAATATTAAAAAAAAAACAACGAGCATGTTTTAGATGCATTTGACAGAAATAAAGCACTGGGCTAATATGAAATATTGATCACTATAGTAGGAATGGCACAAAAAGAGAAACAATAAATAAGAAAAGCAACTGATACAGAATTGCAAGTAGGGTACAAACTAAAGCCTTTTGGGTTTTGTTGATTGGTATTGTTTTCAGTTAGCGAGTTTCTAAAATAAGGCAGCAATTGGATAAAGGGATCAGAGCACAGCTCTAAACAACTGCAAATAAACTAGATTCCCGAGTAATAAATCTTGAATCATTCTTGTTACTGAGAATTTCTTCCCTCTCCTTACTCCCCTGCCCTTAATTCATTGTAGACCCAAGGAAGTGATCAAATGTTCCTTCTATATCAATATTCCAGATCCATCCCTTGCCCTCATTCCAGTATTGGTTTATGGGATGTTCTGGAATGACTGTTTGGGTCAACAACAAGGGGGATAGATTAGGAAAGACGTAAACAGGGGGAACTCCATCCAGTCTCCACACCTTATTTCCCCATACAGCGGAAATCGTGTATAAGGCCAGTTAGACAGAGGAGGGAGAAGGCAAGAAAAGAAAACTTCATCCTAAGTTATGAAATGAGTTTTGTTGAATTATCCACAATGTTATTCAAAATGAGGTAGATATCTGGGACAATTGTTATTCTGATCATCATACCTTAACAAAGCATTTGAGAGTTGAGCCAAGAGATATTCCAACATTAGCAAGACTCCAGCTGTCCTTTAGAGCTGCTCCAGCATACATCAGCTCCAGATACCACCTGCCATGTTCATCTTCAGAGAGAGGAATGTGGAAATAATCTTTAAAAATCAATAGCATATTATGAAAACAGTATATCTCAACATTTCTAGGCCAGCAATATAATCTCTTTTCTTTTACATTTTTTTTTCCCCCACTGAGCACTATAAAATTGTTTTGGACAAATGAAGAAGTATTAGACGGGTTCTTAACTTGGAGCCTGTAGGCATCTCCAAAAGTTTATGGATAAAATTTAAATGGGAAAAAAACTATATTTTGTTTTTATTAATTCTAAATGAAATTAAGATTTTCTTTCAATTATGTATGTAGGCAACAAACTAAAGAAGCAGTATTCAGCTATACCTATGGCTTTGTCACCTGTAAAGATGACATATTTTCATTTCACATTATAGTTGTTGCAGAAATCTCAAAATACTATACTGAATTACTACTGTGAAATTACAACAGTTATTATATACATTGCTAAAATGTGATACTATTACTAGAGAAGCCCATGTGTCACTATATCACGAATTTGTTTTTTAATGTTTGAAAATATTTCAATATAGCTTTTCTTTGTATGTATTTTACTATGTACATTTAAAGACATTTTGGAAAAAAAAAGACATTTTGGGGAGTCCATAGGCTTTCACCAGACTGCCAAAGGGATTCATGACACAGAAAGGTTAAGAGCCTCTGTGTTAGAAGATCTATTTCAGTAATCATAGTGATCTACTACATATCATGTAAGTGTGATTCAACAAATGCACCTTAGCAAATGGGAATGATCATCTCCAAATCAAATGCATTTGATAGTCAAAACCTAAATATTTGTCTTAATTGCCCATTGTAGAGGGAATATTTCTAAAAATTTATGAGAAAGCTACTGAATCCAAATTATTTCTTACTCTGGTTCTGTAACTGTAGATAAGACGGTCAACCTCTTTAAGCTTCAGTTTTCCTGGATGCAAAATTAGTCTGTAGCTCAGAGGTTGTTTAAAGTCCTCTCCACCTCCAAAATCCTTTGGATCTTTATAGTTGCTTGCTCACCAAACATGTCATCTATCTGACAACTGGCATGCTCTATTTATATAGTTTAGAGTTAATGTCCTGTTTTTGTCCTTTTGTGAAGAATTGCCCTAATACTATCTGGTCAGTGAAACAACCCACACATTTCATAAAGAGAAGTCAAACTTTTTTTTTTTTCCTGAGAATTTACTGACTCAGTTTGCATCCTAATACCTCCAGAGTTGCTATCTTCTTATCAAACTGTTGTGTAAGCAAATAATGATCTTTTCAAATAGTTTTAGTTCCCGGTTTGCTGAAAATGTATCTCTACCTCATGTACAGTGTAAGGGCACTGCATAGTTAAAACTAGTATACATCTTAGTGGCTTAGGGACAAAGTACCTACCTTTATTATCAGCTTGACAGCCTCCACAGTTTCATCTGCTGAAACATCAAATGGTTCAAAAGATCCCTCAAAGGCTATGAAAATCCTCATTCTCTCAGCAAACAAAACAAAACAAACAAAAACCCAACCCTGCAACTTTTTTTCAAAGAATTGGATAGCTGGAAAAAACCCAATTCACAATTAAGGACAAAAATGATGGCGAGAGGCAGCTGTTACTATCTAGCTTGAAAGTTGAGCTGAGAGAATGTGAAGAGACAAGTCCTGCTGTCTGAGTATTGGGCAACACAGCAGCTGTATTGGAAGAAATGTATCTCTGCCAATGGCAGTCAACAGCCACCTTGTTCCTATAGTACAGGAGCCAGCAAACTTGACAATGGTTGGGGCAAGTGTGAACAAGCACCAAACATGTATTACAGAAATGCCACACATAAATTACACTTTTGTGATGTGACCACCAACCACAGACTCTTGAATCTGTATTCACTCAAGTGCAGTTCTGATTGAAGGACCCTTCAAAATAGATATGTGATTGGGATATACTGGCACACGGTGAAGCAAAACAGATTTGATTTTATTGAATGTGGTAATCCTGAAAGTTCTCTGTAAATAACTCTGAGCTGAAGCATTCTGGTTTCCATAACAACTCTGTGTACTTGTTCCCTGGCGGTATTTCTAATCCTGCTACCGGGTAAGAACAATGCCCACTTGGAGATGAATGCGTAGGCAAATGACTGTGGTTTCCCCTTTCCGTCTCTGTGTAATAGAATCTACCCAATAACAACACGGTATAGTTGATATGTGTTTTAGTCCTTGCCTTTATGTTGTTTACGGCAATTTACCATTGTTATCTTCTTCAACTTCCCTTAGCATTGGTGGAAAACATTTCAAACTCTGCTCAATAACTGAGCAAAGATATTAAGCACCATTACTCAAGTTTATAGAGTAAGCATGTACTGGAACTTAATTCTAAGTAAGACTCTCCCAGGGTGATATATTTTGTTTAGTGCTGTTACGTCTGATTATTCATTTGTGTTTGTAAATCTCGTCTTCCTCCTCCAATTCCTCATCATCTAACAGAATCCTCATCTTGCACTTCTTCTTATTATTAACAGCACTTAGCACAATGTGAGTCATGTGATTGGTGCCCGGTAAATGTTAACCTGTAGGTTGCTTCTGTTCCAATTCCCAACTTGAGTTCCAACAACAGGAAATTTGAAAAAATGGAAAACCTAAAAAGGGCAAATGGTTTCATTGCAGAGCTCTTTTTACATCATATTTTTCAAGTGTTGCAACTTCATGATATCTTTTTATGTTGTCAACGTTTTCACAGAAAGTCTATTAACATGGGGTGTAGTTGATGCTGCTTTGGTGTCACCCCTCAAGCTGCTGTGACTGTTGGCTGGTGAAAGCTCATAGCTAAAGCCCCTTCTCCAAGGAATTGCCCTCAATTGGGAATTGGGAGCTTGAGAAAAAAAGCCAGGTGCCCCCCTCAATAACTAATGGCAAAGGGACTACAAAAGGCCTGGCTTCTCATCAGAAGGAGTGAAAACTGCAAAGGATTCTTGTAGATAAGGCTTTGGCTGGACTTTACCTGAGACTACATTCTTCCTCACTTTTTCTTCTTCCCAACTCTGCCGAACTCTCTTCCAGACTAGTTTTTCTTGTGCATTCCCTCAGTAAGCGACATACATCCCAATCCCTGTCTCAGGCTTTGCTTACAGAGAAACCAATCTAAGTCAGAAGATCTTAAAGAAGCTCATATGTTTTAAGAAATCACAACCAAGTGTTTTGTCGCTTCCTGAAATACATGTTTATTTATACATGTATATTTTTGTAGGCTGTAGTTACTTGCCTTTAGAGTAAATGCCCAGCTCAAAATTATGTTAAGTATTTGTTCCTTACCTCTGTCCTCAGCAGTGATGTTTGTAATATGACCCTTTTCTCATCATTACAGTTATTTGGACCAGAATGAAACTGTTAGAATCCTTTCTCTCTGGCCTGAAGGAAAATATGACTTTGTGGTTTGATCTGTAACATGTAACTTAGTGACTGTGAGTGAATCATCTTCTTCCTCTAACGTGACTGAGTGGCAGAGAAAGCTAAGAAGAAAGAATGAAACAGACATACGAAGAGGAGCACGGGACATAGAGGGCACTCCCATAGTTTCTGTTGCCCTTGAATTGTGAGACACCTTCTCTCTATATAATACATTTCTCCCCCTTCCCAATTTTGCTTAAGCATGCTTTAATTGGTTTCTATTACTTAAAATCAGAAGAGTTCTAATTCATATTTATCTTTTAAGGTTCATCTTCCTTTGGAACAAGATAAGGATATTCATTATCAGCACAATGATTTAATGTTGTTGCCAAGATATTAGCCAAAATGTTTTGGCAAGAGAAATAAACCATCTACCAATATGGAAAAATCTCCAAGGCATATGATTAGGTAAAAAAAAGTAAGGTGCAAAACAGAATGTGTCATATACTACAGTTTGAGGAAGAAAGAGGGAAATCATATCTACAGACATGATATACAATATAGATAGTTTGCATCGACCTCAAAATCCCTGGAATTATACTCAGGAAACTAGAATCATTGGTGCCTGTAGAGAGAAGACTTGAGCAGCCAAGGGTCAAGGATGAGAACAATACTTTTCACTGTATTGTCTTTTTTTTTTTTCTAATAGACTTTTTAACAGAACTTTTAGATTTATAACAAAATTAAGCAGAACATATATAGAGTTCTCCTGTACCTCTCTATACCTCCTGCCCCCACATTAGAGCCTCCCCCATCAAAATCCCAAACTAAATGGTACATTCATTACAACTGATTAATCTACACTGACACATCATCATTATCCAAAGTCCCTACTTTAAATTAGGGTACACTCTTGGTGTTATACATTTTATGGGTTTTGACAAATGCATAATGACATGTATCCACTGGTATAGTATCATATGGAATAGAGTAATTGCCCTAAAATCCTGTGTGCTCAGCTAATTTATCCTTTTTTTCTCCCCTACCCTCTGGTAACCACTCATCTTTTTACTGTCTCCATGGGTTTGTCTTTTCCAGAATGTCAGATAGTTGGAATCATACAGTATGCATCCTTTTCAGATATTCTTCTTTTGCTCAGTAATATGCATTTAAGGTTCTTCTGTGTCTTTTCATTGCTTCATAGCTTATTTCTTTTTAGTATGGGATAATATTCCATTGTTGGATGTACCACAGTTTATTTATCCATTCGCTTACTAAAGGATATCCTGGTTGCTTCCAAGTTTTGGTAATTATGAATAAAGTTGCTATAAACATCCATGTGTAGGTTTTTGTGTGGATGTAAGTTTTCAGTTAATTTGGGTAAATACCCTGGAGCACAATTGCTGGATGGTATGGTAAGAGTATGTTTAGTTTTGTAAGAAACTGCTTAACTATCTTTCAGAGTGACTGACCATTTTGCATTCCTACCAGCAATGAATGAGAGTTCCGATTGCTCCACATCCTCACCAGCATTTGTTGTTGTGTGTATTACCTTTTTATTCTTTTCTAATTTTGAACCATGTGAAAGCGTTACCACTCAACAAATTAAATTAGATAAAATACAGTAAAATGAAAAAAAAAAAAGTCCAACTGAGTCCTTTCAAAAGGCCTTCTTCATCTCCCCAGGAAAGTTGACCTCTCTCTCTGTCTCTCTCTCTCTTTTGACTTCTCTCTATTCCTTCACTGTATCATACATTTTTAAACTATTGGATCTTTTCTACTGCATTCCATGTATTATGTCAGTGTCAGCCTCTCCCACTAGCCTATGAGCTTCTTCATAGTCAGAATGGACTATGGATGGAGAGACAGTATCTTAATCACCTTTGTATCCCCAGTTGTCAGTGCTTTGCAGTGTGAATAAACAAGCTAGATTATTGTAGACTGATATCATTAAAAGTTACCTTGTAATAATGAAATGATAAGTAGACTTGAAGCTCTCGGGGCAGCCTGAGTGGCTCAGTGGTTTAGTGCCACCTCCAGCCCAGGGGCTGATTCTGGAGATCCGGGATCAAGTCCCACGTTGGGCTCCCTGCATGAAGCCTGCTTCTCCCTCTGCCTATGTCTCTGCATCTCTCTATCTCTCTGTGTCTCTCATGAATAAATAAATAATTTTTTTTTTTTTAAAAAGAAGCTCTCGTAGTAATCTAGGGACAGCTTGAACTGATGAAGCAGAGACTTGAAAATTTTCTTAGTTGCAGTCACGGAATAGCTTGCTTTAGCATCTAGAAGCTCTTTTTGAGTTTTTTTTTTTTTTGTGGGATTTTTTGGCTAGGAGTTTTTAATTAATTTAGTTAGCCTACTGAGGGCTTCGTACATGCAATGGAATATGCTAGGTCTTTGGAAGATGTGGTGATGAATGTAACCTTAAGGGATTTCCCATAAGTATGGAAAATGGTAGGTGTCCAACATATCTGGACCAAGAACTGTATTATAGGATAAAGTGCGATACAAGATGTACAAACAAAATAGATGGCATAGAAGTGAAGAGATGTTTGGTCTTACATAAAGATATATTGTTCATTTTAGTCATTCAGTACATATACACTGAGCTTTTACTATGTACCAGGCACTGTTCTCTGCAGGGTCACTGCAGTGACTAAACATGGAGCTTTCTGAATGTGTACATGTGTTTGGAGTAGAGGAAAGGTTCAGAGTAGGTAAGGAATGGTGGGAAGAGACAAAGACAGTAATTCATAAACAATAAGTAACTAAGCTTTGTTTAAAGAGAATGGTCAGATAGTAGGGATAAGCATGGAAAAAGTAAAGACAAATCTAGTGAAATAGGAAAGGAAGCGTTTGTTAGGAATAACGGTATGAAAGAATTAGGTTAAATACAGAGAAAACAAGTAAATAGGAAGATGACATATCAGGGATAGAAAGAGCAAGAAAAAAAATGTTATGTATGATCTGTACTGCGGTGAAAAAGGAAACAACCATGTCACAATCAGTGACTAATATTTTAGTTCTCGGATCTCTCATATATTTCATAGATGGAAATCAGTTAGTTACTTGATTCTTATTTCCGCATTTAGAGTTATGGCATTCTCCCTATTACAATTTAACCCCTTAGGTTAGGTTCCTTTTAAAAACTCTGAAATAATCACATGTTATCATTGATTTAAAAATATTTTCTGATTTATGATATACTGATACATGTCATACATGCTATATGACATATACAAAACAAGAAA